GGCTTGTAGGGCTCTCCAGGTCTCCGTCTAACCATTAGACGACCAGGTGTTGGGCAAAGCTGAAAATTGGACTCATCAGAGAAGATGACCTTACTCCAGTCCTCTACGGTCCAATCCTTATGGTCTTTTGCAAACCTCAGCCTGGCTCTTCTTTGCTTCTCATTGATGAAGGGCTTTTTACTAGCTTTGCACGACTTCAGCCCTGCCCCTAGGAGCCTGTTTCGAACCGTCCTCGCCGTGCACTTCACCCCAGCTGCCGTTTGCCATTCTTTTTGTAGGTCACTTGATGTCATCCTACGGTTGTTGAGTGACATTCGAATGAGTTGGCGGTCATCCCGGTCAGTAGAGTCGTTTTCGCCCTCTGCCAGTCTGTAGCTTTGTTGTCCCCAATGTCTGCTGCTTGACCTTGTTCTTATGAACCGCCGTCTTTGAAATTTTAAGGATGGAAGCAACCTGACGCTCACTGTATCCCTCTGCCAGTAAAGCCAGAATTGAACCCTTCTTTTCCTCACTCAAAACTTTCCTTTTCAACTCTTTTGGCATGGTCAACAGTTATTTTTTGATTAATATTACTTTTGAGGTACTATTAGCACTGTTTTTGCCATCCAGCTGGTCCTATTGCAAGAGGATAGTGATGACCACAGCAGTGGTTTTTATACTTTTCCTCGTTAAATAAAATTTGGTTCAGGTGATCACCTAATCAGTACCTAATTCAGTAGAATGAGGTGTGCCTGTGTTGGAATTCAACAGACACTGGAATGGAATGGCTGTCATACATGTAGAGATGCTGATTTAAGAACAATTTGCAGTGGTTTCTTAATTTTTTCCAGAGCTGTATACCTATACCTACCTTTAACTACCATGTAAAAGGTCTTCAGAGGTTTAACGCTCATTTGAAACCCTATTTATTGCGTATTTTAGCGTTTTTACAGGTCAACACAGAAGTTCAGCAGATGTAAACATTTACGTCAATCTCCTATTCACAAAGATTTTTGCTCGTACTTACCCCGGTCACATTCAGTTGCCAAAGTTGTCGAACGTTGCAGATAGAAATTCAATTAATAGAGCCGATATGAGTCCCTGTTTTACAAGTCGGTGAGGCATGTTTGTTCTATTGATCATATTTCTATCTGAATGTTCCAAAACGCTGTGTCCTGCTGAACGCGCCCCTGCACTCAATATCCCCCGAGTGCGCCAAGTCAATGGTACAGTCCACAGTCTTAGCTTGTTGAATGGAATTTGGGTCATTCCACTGTAAGCCTTTCCTATTCTATAAGGGTAATGTGAGGTATTTATATTAATTTTGAATAGCTTCCATTGATAGAGACTTTGTTAAATATACCCAGACAAAACAGAAAGAATAAAAAACACTGTGGAATGTCACACGACCTGATTTGGGGCTGGTAAGCGAATGCATAATTAACGGATCTCCACCTCTCCAATCAGCCGGAGTGAGTGACTCCAGAATCTATTCGCAGCTGCTCCACTACCCTCCGCATTTGGAACTGAACAGCTGCTAAAACGTTTGAACAATTTTTCAGAATGCGAACAGGGCATGCTGTCAGACAGGGGCGAACCGGTGCTGTATCTCAACCAGCAGAATAATGGCTGAAGACTATTGGGAGAGCACACTGGCTTTGGGATATTTTTGCTAAGATTACAAGGGCATACGGGATCTCGCGTCCTCGGGTAAGCGACCAAGCAATCTGTCCTTGTTGCGCGAAACGGTATTTACACCGGGTTGGTTAGCTAGCTACAATACGATTTTAATTTTTTTTTTGTCAATAGCTACGTTAGTTAGATACTGTAGTAGGCTACACCGCCGAAAAGACTTGATAGCTTGTTGCAGCCACCACTGTTGATGTCAAAAGATCGGGATACTGTACCTCCCACTTTTAAATCTCTTCAATCACACGTATTACAATTATTCAACATCGTCTTTGTTGAAGAATAAAACATGTCCAATGGAATGTCCGTGATCACCGCATTCTAATCATTCGTAGACTTTAAATCGCTTTCATTCCAATGCATAATCATGCGTAAATGAAACATGTTGCGAGTTAGCTGTAGTTTAGCTAGCAAGGGCCGAGCTGTGCGCAACCACTGAAGCTAGCTTGGTAGCTATAGCTAACTAACTAGATCATGAACTTGTTAACGGCGGTTACTTTTCTGTTGTGTACCATTGGTTTCTATTGCACGCATTAGCAGAATGATTCTTGCATTGTAGCTACGAAACCACATAAAGCTAAACAGATTAGCCAGCTAAACCTAGGTCACAAATCCTTATTTATGATTTGCCTTCAAAATAAATCGTGCGTACATAATGTGATGGACGTACCGGGTATTTTCCTATCCTGGTCAGCTAGCTACAGTCAGTTTGTTTAGTGTTTGTCAGATGGGAAACCAGCAAACTTCAGGGTCTTTTGGGATGGCATTGGGGAGACCCCCTGCACTGTGTGAATAGCTAATTTGCCTGATTGCATGCAATTTCTAGTTTCTTGCTTGTTTTTGTCATGATTACCCCAGTTACATATGAGCTAATGATACATGCCTAGCTGCTATGTTGTTGATGAACTGCAGGCACAAACCTCCAGGGTGCTAGTCACCTACTGTTGACAACCTGGGCATTGCCTTCAAAACGTCATCTTGATGTTGAGCTGTCCCATCAGTACCAGGCAGGCAGGCAGCCCTGTCTGATGCTCATGGTCACACCCCTCTATGTCAACAAGGTTCATGATGCACCAGTTTTAAAAGGATGTGAACACACACACACATAGGGACAACTCGGCCTATCTGAGAGGATGCCAGTGCACCCGGACAGTTTCTGTGCTCCTGCTGTGTTTTAGTTTTTTAATTTTATTTCTACAATTGTCAAGCGACTTTGGGTCCTTGAAAAGCGCTAGAGCCCATTCATCATTATTATTCATATTATTATTCATATTATTAATATAATAATGAATGGGCTCTAGCGCTTTTCAAGGACCCAAAGTCGCTTGCCGAAAAATATTTCTAAGAATTCTTCAGGCAGGCACTTTGTTTTATTTTACATTTAGCCTAACTGCACAAGACAAGTTAAGTTTAATGTTTGAAACAACAAAGTAAATAGCCTCTTAAAATCAAGTACCTCTTCGGAGTGTCTTCATCTAAGATTTCACTTCTAGATTTCCCTGCAGTGCATGCCAAATGAGAGGAAAACCTTACACCACTCTCACCATCCAAAGTATTCCAACTATTTCAAACGTTTTCTCTGTGAATCCTTTGTGAAAAATATGATTAGGTTAGCTAATGGTCAGTCACAGTGACATACCCAATAGCCTTTCCAACAGTAGAACCACTTTAGATTGTTGTGATAATGATGACATTCCAAATGAGAGAACATTCTCAACATGCCTCAGGGTCTTAGTATAAACAAAGAAATTCTTACACCAGGGCTATCTAAGCCCCATAAGATTACCCTGTCCACCCTCCAGCTCACCCCCTGCCGCCGCCGTCTACAGCACTAACACAACTGTCACCAGATAGCCTAGAAGTGTCCATTTTCCTCGGATGGTCAGTGTTCAGAGTGCATACAGAAGAACTCCCTTGTTTACTGTAGATTTTTAGGCCTATATGCAATTGTATGGGTCACCAAGCTTCTAGGCTTCAAAAGAGCAGCTTTGGAACTGAAACTGTTGGGCATCGTTGTGCCAAATTGAGTCATTAGTCACAAGGCAAAAACATGGCCTTCTGGAGGTTTGGCACAACTTTTGTAGTTGGCCAAGTCCTGAATATCGCACAGATGCTCAAGAGACTAACTGCTAGTTTTCCACTGGTTTTTAGTATTTACCTTTCCAGTACTATTTGTAAGATAAGTTGAGATGTAGTTTTCAAGGTCATTGAACATCTCTGTTTTCTAGCGGTTTGCTTTACATTGCAATGCAGAGTGAAATCAATACATGTGCTGTGATGCCAGGGGAGAACGACTGCCCACTCTTATTGAAGCCACGGAAGTTCAAGTCCGACCGCGGTACTGCAGGCATTGTTAGCAGAAAACAGGATCCTCCATTATAGTAAATGGAAAAATGGCAGTCTTTGTGGTCAATCTTCGTGTAAATATATATATTTTTTAAGACAATCATGGTACCAATAATTGATTCTAAAACACTAGATGTATGTCCTTCTTCTGTCAGACACAGAAGAAGTTATAAGAATAATTTAGTTGCTAATGGAAGCCTGCAGTACCCTGGTCAGCCTTCAACTTGAGTTACTCAATGAGAGGGGGCAGCATTGAGCTAACCTCAACGTCACTTCCTAGAGTAGCTCAAACTGCGCATGTTATGTCTCAATGAAACGCCATCTTTACCGACTTAATTTGGCTTCAATGCGCTATTGAGTCTTCACATAGGAAAGAATGGTGTCCCATGGGGCGGCGCACAATTGGCCCAGCATCGTCCAGGGTAGGGGAGGGAATGGCCGGCAGGGATGTAGCTCAGTTGGCAGAGCATGGCGTTTGCAACGCCAGGGTTGTGGGTTCCATTCCCACGGGGGGCCAGTATGAAAAAATTTAAAATAATGTATGCACTCACTAACTGTAAGTCGCTCTGGATAAGAGCATCTGTTAAATGACCAAAATGTAAATGTGTCACGTGATCAATGGCTTTGTCCATTCATTGTGTAACACCCAGTATAGGCAAAGTCTGAATGATGGGAGCTCCCTTAATAACAAAAGACTATCATTAGAGTCAAATCCAACCACTGAGTTCTCTCATCAGTTTGTAATCCAAATGAAGCAGCTTCTCTTCTCATCTCTAGGCCTAAACATTTCTCTTATTTGACTACTGAGGAGTGAGTGACCTGTCATCCTCTGACTTTTGTAGAGGATAATGATTCGGATGTGTCAGTCTTTGTTAGTAGTTCACCCTACAGGACAGGACAGGTTAACAACTGTTTAACAATGTGTTTGCTTGTTTGCTTGTGTCTGTCTGTCTGTCTATCTGTGCCCTCAGAGAGATTGAACAGTGGCTACCCCTCCGCCCTCTGCGTCTCGGCCCCCGCCCTCCGCGTCTCGCCCCCCACCCTCTGCGTCTCGCCCCCCGCTGCCCCCTCTGATGGACCGCATGAGGAAGATCAAGCGGCAGCTGTCCCTCACCCTGAGGGGGGGCAACAGTGGGGACAAGACCAGCGAGACCATCAGCCCTCAGGACACAGCGCACAGTCACAGTGACTCCGGTACAGTGGCTGATACAAACCAACACAATACAGTGACTCCAGTACAGGCTGACCCATACAAAGTTACCTACAGTGCATTTGGAAAGTATTCAGACCCCTTGACTTTTTCCACATTTTGTTACGTTACAGCCTTATTCTAAAATGGATTCAATAAAACATTTTCTTCATCAATCTACTCATAATACCCCATAATGAAAAAGCGAAAACAGGTTTTTAGAAATGTTTGCAAATGTATTAAAAATAAAAAACAGATAACTGAAGTATTCAGATCCTTTGCTATGATACTCGAAATTGAGCTCAGGTCCATCCTGTTTCCATTGATCATCCTTGAGATGTTTCTACAACTTGATTAGAGTCCACCTGTGGTAAGTTCAATTGATTGGACATGATTTGAAAAGGCACACACCTGTCTATATAAGGTCCCACAGTTGACAGTGCATGTCAGAGGAAAAACCAAGCCATTAAGTTGAAGGAATTGTCCGTAGAGCTCAGAGACAGGATTGTGTTGAGGCACAGATCTAGGGAAGGTTACCAAAACATTTCTGCAGCATTGAAGATCCCCAAGAACCCAGTGGCCTCCATCATTCTTAAATGGAAGAAGTTTGGAACCACCAAGACTCTTCCTAGAGCTGGCCGCCCAGCCAAACTGAGCAATCGGTGGAGAAGGGCCTTGGTAAGGGAGGTGACCAAGAACCCGATGGTCACAGCTCCAGAGTTCCTCTGTGGAGATGGGAGAACCTTCCAGAAGGACAACCATCTCTGCAGCACTCCACCATTCAGGCCTTTATGGTAGCGTGGCCAGACGGAAACCACTCCTCAGTAAAAGGCACATGACAGCCCGTTTGGAGTTTGCCAGAAGGCACCTAACGACTCTCAGACCATGAGAAACAAGATTCTATGGTCTGATGAAACCAAGATTGAACTCTTTGGCCTGAATGCCAAGTGTCACGTCTGGAGGAAACCTGGCACCATCCCTACGGTGAAGCATGGTGGTGGCAGCATCATGCTGTGGGGATGTTTTTCAGCGGTAGGGACTGGGAGACTAGTCAGGATCAAGGGAAAGATGAATGGAGCAAAGTACAGAGAGATCCTTAATGAAAACCTGCTCCAGAGCGCTCAGGACCTCAGACTGGGGCGAAGGTTCACCTTCCAACAGGACAACGGCCCTAAGCACACAGCCAAGACAACGCAGGAGTGGCTTGGAGACTTGTCTCCGAATGTCCTTGAGTTGCACAGCCAGAGCCTGGACTTGAACCCGATCAAACCTCTGGATAGACCTTAAAATAGCTGTGCAGCGACGCTCCCCATCCAACCTGACAGAGCTAGAGAGGATCTGCAGAGAAGAATGGGAGAAACTCTCTAAATACAGGTGTGCCAAGCTTGTAGCGTCATACCCAAGAAGACTCGAGGCTGTAATCGCTGCCAAAGGTGCTTCAACAAAGTGCTGAGGAAACGGTCTGAATACTTATGTAAATGTTATATTTCCTGTTTTTTTTTTTTTATACATTTGCAAAAAATTCTAAAAACCAGTTTTTGCTTTTTCATTATGGGGTATTGTGTGTAGATTGATGAAGAAAAAAAACAATTTTAGAATAAGGCTGTAACGTAACAAAATGTGGAAAAAGTCAAGGGGTCTGAATACTTTCCGAAAACACTGTACACAATACAGTGACTCCAATACCGGCTGACGCCTACCAAGTTACCAACACAATACAACTGTAGGCTACCACAACCCTTAATTATTACACTGTAACAACTAATCTGGCAATATCTTTGACCAATTAGGCCTAATTGTCAAAGAAGTAATAACAAGTGAAACTGCGGACAGCTTTGTAGTTCAATGTGCAGAATATTTAGTTTAGTTTGGACCATCATTATGCTGAAGGTGGGAGTTATTTTATCCTTCATTTCATAATGGTGATATGAAAAACGAAACGGTGTGATGAAAAGCGTTTTGCCCTTATCGCACAGCACTCAAATTGAGTGACTCAACTGATATTCTTACCAGAGACAAAATGTGTAATCTCCAAATGTTTAGAACTATACTCATAAATATTTCAATTAGGTCTGCTGTAAAAGGTTACATTTCTTTCTCCTTATACAAGCATGTCACACATGACTGGGCGACCTCAAACCAACGGTGACTCAGTATCATTTGTGGGAGTACTTTACATGCCACGGAGTAGTGTCACTCTTGTGCAAAGCTCTGCAGTGCACACACTATACCCTTCTATGGCTTCTCTGCTACAGGGAATACATGGTTTAGGGTAGTGGATGCGGTAGACCATCACTCACAGATTCACACACAAAATAGACCTAGCTACACTATTCCAAATCCTATATGGCTCCCTCCTGAAGGATCTGGTGATGATGGGATGGGATGGGGGGAGTGTGTGTGTGGGATAACGGCGCTTCTGGTTCCTGCTTGCTATTCTTCATTTAATTCCGACGCATGTCTCTTCCAGCATGGCTCTCTGTGCTCTAATACTGGCTGTATTGATGCTGTCTCAGGAGGTTTCAATGAAACGACTTCAGTCTACTCGCCTCAACTTGACTCCCTGGTGGAAAAAAAACAACTACAACTAATTTGTGCAATAAAACCAATCAACATTTTAATAAAATAAAAAACAGTTTAGAATGAAAATTAATTTGGCTTTGTGAAGTAATGAATAAAGTGCTGTTGCGTAACATAATTTACCATCAATTGTGTCCATAAGAGATTATTAGAGGCGGTAAGCACGGGCCACATCTGGCCTGTACAATACAATGAAGCCAATTCATGCAGCTCAGAAACTTCTCAGTAACCCTGTTGCTAATACTGAAGGTTTTCCTTGTCAATTGACCCCATATATTTTTGTCTTCCAGTGTGTATTAACCTCTTTTGGAAAGTGAATCGCATGCTCTGAAAGATGGACGTGTGTACGTGTTTTCCCTGTTCATTTGGTTGATCCTTTCATTTAAAGTTACCTGCTCTTTTTCTTTCTTGTCTTTCCTTCCCTGTTTCTTCTCATCTTAACCACCATTACTCTATTCCTCTCTACCAAATGTTACTGCCTACCTCTCTAACATTTTCTCTACCTCTGTAACATTTTCTCTACCTCTGTAACATGTTCTCTACCTCTGTAACATGTTCTCTACCTCTGTAACATTTTCTCTACCTCTGTAACATTTTCTCTACCTCTGTAACATTTTCTCTACCTCTGTAACATTTTCTCTACCTCTGTAACATTTTCTCTACCTCTGTAACATTTTCACCACTTCTGTTACATTTTCACCACTTCTGTTACATTTTCCCCAATAATACATCTTCATCCATTACTTTAATTTGTTTTTCTCTTTATTTTTCTCTTCTTTCTTTCTACACCTCCTCCCCCCTTTGTTGTCCTGTCTTCATCCCAATCATTATCCGTTTCCTCTTTCATTTGCTTTGGCCTCCTTTGATGTCTGTACCCCTGTCCCCCATCATATCATGCCCTGCCGTACCCTGTGTCCCCCTTCCACCACACCACCTCAAACCCACCTCCACCTGCATTGTCCTTCGTGTCTCCCACCCGTACCCCATTCCTCCCTCCTGTGTGTGTCTCCCCCTGTGTCTCTGCCTCCCCACCCTTCTCTCTCCCAGAGACCATGTCAGTGCGGGGCGGTGGCACTGGCAGTTTGCGGGGTTCAGTGCGAGCCGGTGGTGGTGGAGGCTCGTTCAGCATGCACTCCCTGCTCCAGTCGTACGGCTCCGCCCTGCGCCGACCACGCAGCCTGGGCCGCAGCCTCAGCTCCTATCTCAACCACACCACACGCCTGGGTACAAAACACTTGGCCCACACAGGGAAGGGGAATGTGTGTGTGTCTGCTCTGGGAGTGTGTGTGTGACCTCTGGCCACAAGTGCGTGAGTGTATATGTTAAGGGTGTGTCATGTTATGACTGGTAATGCTGTAGACTTACAGTGCCTTCAGAAAGTATTCACACCCCTTTGACTTATTCCACATTTTGTTGTGTTACAGCCTAAATCCAAAATTGATTAAATAGATTTTGTTTTCTCTCACCAATCTACACACAATACCCCATAATGACAAAGTCAAAACATGTTTTCAGAAATGTTTGCAAATGTATTGAAAATTAAATAATGAAATATCTCATTTACATAAGTATTCACACCCCTGAGTCAATACTTTGTAGAAGCACCTTTGGTGGTGATTACAGCTTTCAGTCGTCTTGGGTATGTCTGTATCAGCTTTGCTTGGCGGTGATTACAGCTTTCAGTCGTCTTGGGTATGTCTGTATCAGCTTTGCACATCTAGATTCTGGGATTGTCTCCCATTCTTCCTTGCAGATTTTCTCGTGCTCTTAAGTTAGATAGGGAGAGGCAGTGAACAGCAATCTTTACGTTTTTCCACAGATTTTCAATGGGATTCAAGTCTGGGCTTTGGCTGGGCCACTCAAGGACTTTCACAATCTTGTTTTGAAGCCATTCCAGCGTTGCTTTGGCTGTATGCTTGGGGTTATTGTCCTGTTGGAATGTAAATCTTTGCCCCAGTCTAAGGTTGTTTACACTCCATCCTTACCAGTCTCCTAGTCCCTGCTGCTGAAAAGCATCCCCATAGCATGATGCTGCCACCACCATGCTTCACGGTAGGGATGGTGTTAGATGGGTGATGAGCTGTGCCTGGTTTTCTACAGACATAGCACTTTGCATTCAGGCCAAAGAGTACAATTTTTGTCCCAGCAGATCACAGAATTGTTTGCCATATGATCTCAGTCTTTCACATGCCTTTTTGCAAACTCCAGGTGTGCTGTCATGTGCCTTTTTCTCAGGAGTGGCTTCCGTCTTGTCACTCTCCCATAAAGCCCAGATTGGTGAAGTGCTGTAGAGACTGTTGTCCTTCTACCAGGTTCTCCCATCTCAGCCATGGAACTCTAGTTCTGTCCGAGTGGTCATTGGGTTCTTGGTCACCTCCCTGACCAAGGCCCTTGCCCGGTGGCTCAGTTTGGTCAGACGGCCAGCTCTAGGCAATCTGGGTAGTTACATATTTTCTCAATTTCTCAACGATGGAGACCACTGTGCTCTTGGAAACTTTCAACACTCTAGAAATTGTTTTATACCCTTCCCCAGATATATGCCTCATCACAATTATATCTCGGAGATCTACGGACAGTTCCATGGACTTCATGGTATAGCTTCTGCTCTGACATGCACTGTCAACTGTGGGACCTTATATAGACAGGTGTGTTTCTTTCTAAATCATGTCCAAACAATTGAATTGGCCACAGGTGGACTCCAATCAAGTTTTAGTGACATCTCAAGGATGATCAAAGGACACTGGATGCACCTGAGCTCAATTTGGATTGTCATAGCAAAGGAGTGTGAATAGTTATGTAAATGAGATTTTTGTATTTCATTTTCAATATATTTGCAAACATTTCACTTTGTCATTATGGGGTATTGTGTGTAGATGGGTAAAAAAAAATAATGTTTTAATCCATTTTGAATTCAGGCTGTAACGCAACAAACTGTGCAGTAAGTCAAGGGGTATGCATACTTTCTGAATGCACTGTTTATGCCAGTTTTTTTTTTGTCCTCTTATGGGATTAAGTTAATTACGTATTTGAATACTGTTTGGAGAGTAGGTGTAAAAGCTGATAAGCACATCACACCAGTGCTGTATAACAAGTTAACAACAGTGAGTGAAACCTGTAATAGTTGTAGTGGGAGAGAACCGTGAAGAAACAAACGCTAAGACATCAGGGAAGATGTGCTTTAGCACTCAAACCTTACTGTGATGGCAGTAGCAGATACACCGCATGCTCAACTCCAAGTGCCTTTTTACCAAAACGCTTCCCCGGTTTTCCCAGAAAGCAAACATATAAAGAAAGTGAACAGACACAGGGCGAGTAAAAAGTTATTGTCAATAGTAGTAAGATTATGATAGTTAGATTGCGATAGGACATCGAGAGCTGGTAACCCTAGCACTCTTCTATGTGGACCAGGAGTTGAGTGTGTTGCTGTGTGTTTGTACAGAGATAGTCCATGAAGATGTGAAGATCGGCTCTGATGGGGAGAGTGACCAGGTCTCGGCCACCTCTTCTGATGAAGTACACAGTCCTGTCAAGGTCCGCCTCAGGAACAACTCTGTACGCAAGATATCCACCGAGGTACACTCATACATTCTCACACACACACACACACACACACACACACACACACACACACACACACACACACACACACACTCTCTCTCATAACACATGAGGTGTTGTATCCTAACCTTTAACCTTTAAACTCTAACCTTGCATCTTTTCTGTTAGGATATAAACAAGCGGTTGTCCTTGCCTGCGGACATCCGTCTCCCAGACGGCTACCTGGAGAAGTTCTGTCTGAACAGTCCTCTTTTTGACAAGCCTCTGAGCCGGAGGCTAAGGAGAGTCTCCCTGGTAGGTTACTGCCCTCTCCCTCTCTCAAACCTGCTCCATGTCCTCATGCTCACTCTGTCTGGCCCATGCTCACTCTGTCTGGCCCATGCTCACTCTGTCTGGCCCATGCTCACTCTGTCTGGCCCATGCTCACTCTGTCTGGCCCATGCTCACTCTGTCTGGCCCATGCTCACTCTGTCTGGCCCATGCTCACTCTGTCTGGCCCATGCTCACTCTGTCTGGCCCATGCTCACTCTGTCTGGCCCATGCTCACTCTGTCTGGCCCATGCTCACTCTGTCTGGCCCATGCTCACTCTGTCTGGCCCATGCTTTTTTCATGAGCTGTCTTGTCCCTGTGTGTGTTAAGCTCTTAAGACTCTCCCTCCTGCATTTTAGTTCTTGTATTTTCATGTGCACTACAATTTTGTTCACCCTTGCTGTTATGCCTTGCTATCCTGTTCCTCCACCATTTTCTTTCATTCATATTTATTCAAGGTCGGAGCTTATTCATTCACTGCCAGACATCTCAACAGAAGTGGTTGCACGTGTCTTGATGAGATTGACCTTCATTGTATCATCTTCCTGGATAAAGCCAGTCCCGTAGTTCATCTTCCTGGATAAAGCCGGTCTCGTAGTTCAGCTTCCTGGATAAAGCCAGTCTCGTAGTTCATCTTCCTGGATAAAGCCGGTCTCGTAGTTCATCTTCCTGGATAAAGCCGGTCTCGTAGTTCAGCTTCCTGGAGAAAGCCAGTCTCGTAGTTCAGCTTCCTGAATAAAGCCAGTCTCGTAGTTCACCTTCCTGGATAAAGCCAGTCTCGTAGTTTGTAACAATGTTCTGGAGTCTGTCTGTCTGTCATATTTGTGAATAACAAAGCATGTTCTCATTCTGTGATTTTACACGTGGTAAGACTTCTATAATCATCTAAAGATATACTGTGTTTTTTCTCTCAGTCAGAGATTGGCTTTGGGAAGCTGGAGACCTATGTGAAGCTGGATAAGCTAGGAGAGGTATGCAGTTTCACACATATACATTTCACATTACCCCTCAGGCCTTGTTGATTTACTCTCAACCTCTGCTGCCAAACATTTGTCCTGGCAGTGTTGAGGTTTGCTTCTGCTACTATTCACATGTAGTGTATGTACGTTTACTGCTTACATTATGTGCTCGTACTGTAGTCTGTATGTAAGTACTGTCTCTCTCCCCCAGGGAACCTATGCCACGGTATACAAAGGGCGCAGCAAGCTGACAGACAACCTGGTGGCCCTGAAAGAGATCCGGTTGGAGCACGAGGAGGGGGCTCCCTGCACCGCCATCAGAGAGGGTGAGACCACCACGCCACCACAGGGCTGGCACTGGGCACGGTACCCAAACACCTTTGTGTCGGGTGGGCCTGGGCCCGGGCCGCCAGCTAAAAATAAAACCCAACAGGTTGGAAAGTGGAAACCAGAGCAAGCCAAGGGAGCACTGGCTATTTACAGGATTGACCTCAGTCACACACAGTTGCTGCTGCTGCAACTGGCCTCAGATATGGAAATAGTTAAGTCTGGTTTTTAATCATGCGTTGGTTATCTCTCTCTCCCCCAGTGTCTCTGCTGAAAGATCTGAAACACGCCAACATAGTGACCCTCCATGACATAATCCACACGCAGAAGTCTCTCACGCTGGTCTTTGAGTACCTGGTGAGTCATCGTCCACACAGAAAGAAAGAGAAGTAAAACAGAGTGACACGCGTCACACACACTGTTCATCTGTCGGCTCCTTACATTTAGAATGAAAACAAATCCAAATGTATTTGTTTGTGCCAGTGTCAACATTTGTGTAAATAATTTGTGATTTGTCACGCAGGATAAAGACCTTAAGCAGTATCTGGAGGACTGTGGCAACTCTATCCACATGCACAATGTGAAGGTGAGGCACATATCAGCCTACAATACCTTGACAAATGATATACATTACATGCTTTAGCATGTATCATAAAACAGGGAATTCTATCATTCCAGTCCGAAGTATACATTTCCTTAACAATAGATGAATTGGCACGGTGCTAATAGTTTTTTTAATGTGTAATTAGTGATTAGTAGGGTCTTATTGGTGTTTTTTGTCTTTGCACATTGTCTCCCTATGGCTCTCTCTCACCTACAGTATACCTCTCATATCTCAGTGTGTCCCTGTGTCTCTGGGTGGTCTGTGGTATTATCATGTCTGTGTCTCAGTGTGTCCCTTTGTCTCTGGGTGGTCTGTGGTATTGTCATGTCTGTGTCTCTGGGTGGTCTGTGGTATTATCATGTCTGTGTCTCTGGGTGGTCTGTCTCAGTGTGCCCCTCTGTCTCTGGGTGGTCTGTGGTATTGTCATGTCTGTGTCTCTGGGTGGTCTGTGGTATTGTCATGTCTGTGTCTCTGGGTGGTCTGTGGGTGGTCTGCGTCTCTGGGGGGTCTGTGGGTGGTCTGCGTCTCTGGGGGGTCTGTGGGTGGTCTGCGTCTCTGGGGGGTCTGTGTCTCTGGGTGGTCTGTGTCTGTGGTATTGTCATGTATTTGCAGTGTTCTTATCTCCTGTCTGTTACTGTGTCTGTCCTCCTCAGCTCTTCCTGTTCCAGCTGCTGCGTGGCCTCAACTACTGCCACTGCCGCAAAGTCCTCCACAGAGACCTCAAACCCCAGAACCTGCTCATCAATGACCGCGGAGAGCTCAAACTGGCTGACTTTGGTCAGTACCTCCTCTAACTGTACAGACAGAGTCTTATCACCACACCTCAGAAGTCTCTGTGGAACCAGAGTGTTATCTGTAGTGCTTCAGTTTAACGTCCTCAATAGTCTGTTGAGAGTAACGACAAAACAGTACGGTAAGAAAAAAGGACATCAGTGTTTTGTTGGTAGCAAAAATAGTTTTTCCGGTGTAATAAGCCAATATGCCCCAAGAGCCTCTTTCACAAACTGTCCTGTTAAAATGTTAAGCTTCTTTCAAGCGTTTTGGTGAATAGTGAGTCATGTTTTTGTCTCAGGCCTGGCCCGGGCTAAGTCCATTCCCACCAAGACATACTCCAACGAGGTGGTGACGCTATGGTACCGTCCCCCAGACATCCTCCTAGGAAGCACTGACTACTCAACACAGATAGATATGTGGTAGGAATACACTATTGTTCATAGCCAATCAGGTTGATATTGAAGTTTCGTTAAAACATTCTGTTATAAAATGTCAGTAAAGTTGTTATAGTAACGTTATATTTTGCCTCTGTAGGGGAGTGGGTTGTATCTTCTATGAGATGTCTACAGGCCGTCCCCTGTTCCCTGGCTCCACAGTGGAGGAGGAGCTGCACTTTATCTTTAAACTGCTAGGTGAGACTGTACACCCGTCGCTGCCCATCTTTCTCCATGGTGTGGACCTGCCCTTTTGAAGGAAAGGAGAACAGGAGAAAATGCCATTTGGCACCATTGAGAGGGCTAAGGACATAAAAGATCCCTTCCTTTTCAATGTCTTGAGAGTTGAAGCACGTGTGTTTTGTGTCTGTTCCAGGTACACCCAATGAGACGTCTTGGCCTGGAATCACCTCCAATGAGGAATTTGTCTCGTACAACTACCCCCGGTACAGAGCGGACTGTCTACAGAACCACACACCCAGGTGATGCAGTGCTCATCACTGTGACTGCTTATGACACGTTAGACCTGCTCGTTCAATGAGAGTTACTTTAATTTGTTGTGTATTTGTTGTTTTTCCTAGACTGGACAATGAAGGAGTGGAACTGCTGTCCAAACTGCTGCAGGTGAGACCACACCTGTGACAACATTGTCATCATTGACAAACTCCCATCTCACCTTTTTAGATAATCCTCCCGATAGTCTTCGAGGTGTTCGTTGCCATTATCAACAGTAGACGTCGACAGTAGAGTGGATCTGTTTTTCCGTCTGTGTTTCAGTTTGAGGGAAAGAAGCGTATCTCAGCGGAGGAGGCCATGAGGCATCCATACTTCCACAGTCTGGGAGACAGAGTGATCACACTGCCTGACAGTGCGTTGGCCTTCACTCCTACACACATGACACACACACACTCACACAACTATAACATTATTAACAGCAGTGTAGTCTCATGTCATTGGTAAATAAATGTATAATATGAATGTATCCTCTCCTAGCTACATCAATATTTGCACTTCAAGACATTCAGCTGGAGAAGGAGCCCGGAGATAGAGCCAGCTCATTGTCTGACTCGGGTAAGTTCCTCTCTTTACTGTGGTATTTCATCACATATACTAAAAGTCTTATTTTAATGTCCCAACTTCCTTTGTACGAAATGTAAACTTAATTGCTACATCACTGTGTTCCAGAGCTCGTACAGGGATGCCTAAGGTTCCGGCACACCTTAGGTATATTCAGTTCACTTCCTTCTCTCACGAGGAGGCTGCGAACCATCCCCTTTTTTCCCCCTCTGATGCACCAATGTGTCAAGTCTATCAACCCATGACTTTTAACAATGAAAATGTAACCATTCTCAAAACACCTCCTTAGATTTTGAGGCTAGAAGAATATTGTATGTCAAGAGTACTTTACGTTATGTCAAGAGTACTTTACGTTATGTCAAGAGTACTTTACGTTATGTCAAGAGTACTTTACATTATGTCAAGAGTACTTTATGTTATGTCAAGGGTACTTTACATTATGTCAAGAGTACTTTATGTTATGTCAAGGGTACTTTACGTTATGTCAAGAGTACTTTACGTTATGTCAATAGTACTTTACGTTATGTCAAGAGTACTTTACATACTTTACATTTATTTACAGGTGTACATCCATACAGAGCACATTAGGTGATCTTCACTTTCAATGGAAATTCCCACTGTTCATCGTACTACATACTGATACACAATCCTTTTAAGAAAGGAGTAGCAAGAGCAGTGTACTCAGATATTTAAGTACGCTAGGCTAGCTTTTTATCAATTTCGCCTCAGACATTTGTTAGAAATGAACACAAACAGCATGCATCACTGAACAGCACCTTGAATACAAGACTATCCTCGAACAAACACCAAGTCACATCACATCAACAGGGCTAGTGCACAGTACACTCCACCTCTGAATGGTTATAGGTTTTATTTGCTAAAATTGATGTCTCTGGTTGGTCCCCTGTTCTTCCTGGTTGTGTTTGATTGGTTGAAAGCAACACTCTGACCTGACATGCCTGCCCTCAGCTCTGACTCAGGAGCATTCAGTCCCCTGGTCATTATGCGTTGTAGTGGGCGCACCTCAGTCTGATCACTGGTCGGTGTAGTGATGGAGAATGAGCTTCTCATAAGAACCTGCTTCCCTTAACCTCCCGCCTGAGGAGCTCTCACTGGACCCAGACAATCAGAGAATCATTATTGGTGTTCTCTTGGCTATTTATGAGCTGTCTTTTACTGAGGAAAACAACGACTTTTTACTAAATGTAATAAAACACCGACTACTAAACCCCTGCTCAACAATGAAAATCAATATTCAAATTATGCCCAACACACACAGTAAAAAATGTAAAGAGAAATCGATTGCCCTGTTTCTTACATAATCCAAATATCAGCCATGGATAGAATGTGTGAGTTGTTTTGTAACACAGTTACAGTGAGGGAAAAAAGTATTTGATCCCCTGCTGATTTTGTACTTTTGCCCACTGACAAAGAAATGATCAGTCTACAATTTTAATGGTAGGTTTATTTGAACAGTGAGAGACAGAATAACAATAAAAAAATCCAGAAAAATGCATGTAAAAATTTTTATAAATTGATTTGCATTTTAATTAGGGAAATAAGTATTTGACCCCCTCTCAATCAGAAAGATTTCTGGCTCCCAGGTGTCTTTTATACAGGTAACGAGCTGAGATTAGGAGCACACTCTTAAAGGGAGTGCTCCTAATCTCAGCTTGTTAACTGTATAAAAGACACCTGTCCACAGAAGCAATCAATCAATCAGATTCCAAACTCTCCACCATGGCCAAGACCGACGAGCTCTCCAAGGATGTCAGGGACAAGATTGTAGACCTACACAAGGCTGGAATGGGCTACAAGACCATCGCCAAGCAGCTTGGTGAGAAGGTGACAACAGTTGGTGCGATTATTCGCAAATGGAAGAAACACAAAATAACTCTCAATCTCCCTCGGCCTGGGGCTCCATGCAAGATCTCACCTTGTGGAGTTGCAATGATCATGAGAACAGTGAGGAATCAGCCCAGAACTACACGGGAGGATCTTGTCAATGATCTCAAGGCAGCTGGGACCATAGTCACCAAGAAAACAATTGGTAACACACTACGCCGTGAAGGACTGAAATCCTGCAGCGCCCGCAAGGTCCCCCTGCTCAAGAAAGCACATATACAGGCCCGTCTGAAGATTGCCAATGAACATCTGAATGATTCAGAGGAGAACTGGGTGAAAGTGTTGTGGTCAGATGAGACCAAAATCGAGCTCTTTGGCATCAACTCAACTCGCCGTGTTTGGAGGAGGAGGAATGCTGCCTTTGACCCCAAGAACACCATCCCCACCGTCAAACATGGAGGTTGAAACATTATGCTTTGGGGGTGTTTTTCTGCTAACTTCACCGCATCAAAGGGACGATGGACGGGGCCATGTACCGGCAAATCTTGGGTGAGAACCTCCTTCCCTCAGCCAGGGCATTGAAAATGGGTCGTGGATGGGTATTCCAGCATGACAATGACCCAAAACACACGGCCAAGGCAACAAAGGAGTGGCTCAAGAAGAAGCACATTAAGGTCCTGGAGTGGCCTAGCCAGTCTCCAGACCTTAATCCCATAGAAAATCTGTGGAGGGAGCTGAAGATTCGAGTTGCCAAACGTCAGGCTCGAAACCTTAATGACTTGGAGAAGATCTGCAAAGAGGAGTGGGACAAAATCCCTCCTGAGATGTGTGCAAACCTGGTGGCCAACTACAAGAAACGTCTGACCTCTGTGATTGCCAACAAGGGTTTTGCCACCAAGTACTAAGTCATGTTTTGCAGAGGGGTCAAATACTTATTTCCCTCATTTAAAATGCAAATCAATTTATAACATTTTTGACATGCGTTTTTCTGGATTATTTTGTTGTTATTCTGTCTCTCACTGTTCAAATAAACCTACCATTAAAATTATAGACTGATCATTTCTTTGTCAGTGGGCAAACATACAAAATCAGCAGGGGATCAAATACTTTTTTCCCTCACTGTATAATGAGAAATTCATGATTACATAATTTCCTGCATTAATTATTCATCCGTCTTTCTGAGGCATGTTCTGCTCTCTCACCCTAAACTCGTTCCTGTTATATCACAGAGGAAGGGTTAACCGTCCTGTAATCTAACTCCTGATTTAGCCTGAGGAGTGGGATGGTAATGAGAGGTTGGATCTCTGACTCATTCTCATTTAAAACACTGCTGCTATTCTATCTACTTTAAGCTTATCAACAATGCGGAAGAGAAAATTACAGTTTACTTCAACTATGTTTGACGTTAATACTGTGCAATACTCCGTATAGTATATTTTTAACATGCAAACATTTCGGCCTCCCAGGACTTGGTGTATTTGAGATTAGTGCAGAGTAATTTGCATTTCTCCCCTTCTTGTCACACCAAAGGGGAATGCTGATGTGACATTGCTTGTGGGGACCTAACCCACTGAGTTGTCCTGTATCAAAACCCTATGTTTGTTCCTGCTCTTCTCGCTCTCTCTTTCTTTGGGCCCACGCCCACATTCATCTGTTTCAACACTGAATTTGTATTGTGGGCCCTGTTTTGACAATGCAAAGTGAAAATACGGCACTAGTGTCAAATAATACCATAATGCTCCCAATATCTGTACTTTAATTTATTTCAAATATTTTTTGGACATCCATGGAGGGCAGCGGTAATTAATGATGGTTTAGAACGTAATTATGTGGATACAAAACACGCATTTGTGTTCCATTTTGACACAAGTGCTGCTTATTTACATTGTCAACATATCACTGTGTGAGTGCTGTATGTCTTCATACTGTGTCAGCAGCACCTTTCTTAGCCTGATGGAACCTTCTCCCGCTGGTCTCTGTTCAAGTACCTGTGATGATGATGAGGATGAGTGTTCTTCCTGGGATCTATCTCTCTCTCCTCTCACTGTCTCTCACTTCTGTCTCTCTCTCCTCACAGTGAACAGCATATCTCGACGACAGAGCCTGCTCTTCTGAGTGGAGTGGGAGAAACACGGATGAACGAGAGGACGAGAAGCTGAGACATTTCCGTGTGCGATGAAGGGATACATATTTATCTTCTTTATACCTTTTGAATTGTCATTGTTGGTCCACTTAGTGTTGAGAGAGGGTCACTAGCTGTTTACATGTGCGACGAGGCTGAGGAGGATAACTGTTATTTTCTAATTTGTTTGCGCTCAATATGCACTCTCTCCTCTAAATAGAAGCGTTTACTGTCACAGACACACTCTTACCATCACGTATACTGTAAATGCTGACAGGCAAAGAAAGCCTTACTGTTTTTCCTTATATAGCTAGCTACTGTGATGTTTAGTTTACAGGCTGACATAATTGCAATCCTGTATAATTCAATTTAGACATGTCAGGACATTCTTTGAATGCAATAATCATCACCCGTAAATTTTCACGGATTTGGACCAAAGTTTTCGACTCACTTAAATTATGCACATTGATATTGCAATACCCCTAGCTAGAACCTTTCTATTTTTGATTGTATAATACCACAATGAAGGAATAATTCGAAAAATGACAAGGCTTGAATAAGTGATGAGTTGTCTTCTAACTGAGGGAGGAGTAAAATGGCGAGGCTATAGTGTCTCACCTTGGTCTTCCACACCCCATCTCCACCACAGCAAGGATATACCATCTATCCCTCCCATCTCCACCACAGCAAGGTTTTACCATCTATCCCTCCCATCTCCACCACAGCAAGGTTTTACCATCTATCCCTCCCATCTCCACCACAGCAAGGTTTTACCATCTATCCCTCCCATCTCCACCACAGCAAGGTTTTACCATCTATCCCTCCCATCTCCACCACAGCAAGGTTTTACCATCTATCCCTCCCATCTCCACCACAGCAAGGTTTTACCATCTATCCCTCCCATCTCCGTAAGCATTGCAGTGGGAGATTAGTTCAGTACCAGGTAGATTAATCCAAACAGTGTCATGGCGGCATTTGGGGGAAATCCTCATGTTGTATTTATTTATTTATTTTCATAATGCTGTGCTTGGCTGATATGGTACAATGGTTTGAAAGAGAAATGCAGCACTTCTGTTCTATTTTCACACAACGTTTTGCAATTCTCTGAGGAATCCATAGCACTTACAGGAATTCTCCTCATTCTTGCAGGGATTTGGGGAACCAAAAACCTGGAGATGCGAGTTCTCTTTTATTGAGTATATAGACATGCATCCAATACAAATTGAGCTTCCACAGTGAAACATCACAACCCTGATAGGTTTAACGACTCTCTAGGCCACAGGGTACAGTATTGTTGGGTGTAATGTAATTGTGTTTACATCTCTCCCTGTTTGGAGTGAAAGAGACAAAGTCTGTGCAAATTGCCCCACTGTGTACGGAGTGATGTGTGTTCATCATTCTGGGGAGAGTGAGAGAGTACACCAGACACAGTGTTACATCGCCTGCTGATGTAGTTAGCCCACCTATCAACCATGACTGTTGTTGAAAGCAGTGGTTCACAACCTTTTTCAGTTTACTGTATCACCAACTGAATGTTGCTCTGCCCGGAGTACCCGTGAAGTACCCCATCATGTACATTTTACCAGTAGGCCTATGGTCTCATGAGTCTTCTCAAGTACCCCTGTGGATAGGTCCTAGTACCCCTGGTTGGGAACCACTGTTCTAAAGCACTTCAGTATGTGGAATCGTTGAAAACCAAAGTGAACATGCATAAAACTGTCATCTGAAATTTCTGGCTCGTCATTTTGAATGGGGATAGATGTTTCAAACCTCAAATAACCGAAGTATACATTTTTGGATTGAGGCTGTAACTTGTAGACAAATGCAGTTGGATATGAATTCTCACCATCTCAACCTGTGGGTTGGGGTGTGATCCTAGCAGCGAGATCTTGTGAACTTAGTAAGTGTGAATGAGTGAGTGTGTGTGCTGTCTGGATGCATGTGTGAGAGTGAGAGAGTCAGATGGTCAGAGCAGAGGATATGTGTCGTAAAGCACGGCAGTGTTATATTGTGGAAAAAGACTATGGTACGTTGTAAATAACCTTAGATTATTTTACGGAACAGAGCAGAGGACTGTGCAATGAGATGAGAGGACCCTCTTCTCAATATGTAATTTTTAAGATAAGAATATAATTTTCGTACGATGATCATTGATAATATTGTTATTGTGTTCATATTATTTTAATGAGAAAAGGTTGTTTGTTCATAGAATACATAATCAGTGTAGATTTTTGAATTTGATGTTTATTATTGGTTTGTTTTCGCTGATGGTGAAAGTGGCTCTTCCAAATACATTCTCATAAGAAGCATGGATATGTTGCCATGGAAGGGCTAATAGGTTGTGGTCGTGAAGTTGCCTCTTGTCCCATTTATATTAGGCAATAACTGTTGTACTACGCAATAACAAGTTATGTAGTATGTGAACCCTGTCCAAATTTACCAGTGGATTGAATACTTTATATCTAACACAAAAAACAATGAAGTCACAACTAAAAGTAGAACAAAAAAATACTGGAGACTGTTTTATTGCCCATTGTCACTTTTACATTTGGATTCAAATAGTGAGATTTTGATATCAATGTTGACTAAGAGTTTTTTGTTGTTTGTTAGCCAAGAAACAAGAAAGTTATTGTAGTTTTCAGTATGGATAAAACTGTTTAACATTTCTTTAGAAAGCAAAACAAGTTCAATTCTAAGGTGTAGTGCATGTGCCGATGTGAAGACTGTGTTCTTTAGTTTACTTGTCAAGGAGAGTTGGATTACAGATTGGACAATGCAATCGAGTCTTGGTTTTGAAGCAACTTTACCATACAACCCAGCATATCTAATGGGCATGTGATGTGTTGATGAGGAAGAGGTTGAAAAGGTGTACGAATATGTACTGTAAACTAGTTTGTGTATATATGTATGTACTGTACTGTAAATCATACAATTTGAAAAGGAATTTAAACAAACACAAGCAATACATTTGGCAAATGTCTGATGCAGAAGCCTGCCAAACAAGTTCGTGCTCTGATAGCATTTAGGAATGTAATGTAATGTGGAGGCAACAGTACACAGCATTATGATAGGATGTTCATCCTATAGTTGGTTGGGAAATCTGTGCCATATTCAGAAGGTATAACACTACAGAATGTTGCAGATATAAATGGAATGTAGCCTATGGCGCAACCAACACATTAGACCGACATTTTTCTCTGACAGGTTCTTCATGGCTGCACCTCTGAATATGTTCTAGATCTGTGTGTATATTGTATGGATATGTAAATGCTCAAGATGTTTTGTGAAGAGAATGCTTTTGGTAAAAACTGGATAAGGATATTCAAAAGCTCTTTGGATTGCAGCAATAGTTATTATTTTTCCCAACTGAGCAGCAGTTTGGAAAGGACTACAGTGTAAATTGTCAAGTGAAATACCATTATGAACCTGTGGTTATTATATTGGTAACACACTGAAATACCACACCATTATGAAGCTGTGGTTATTTAATCGGTGACACTGAAATACCACAGATATATGGCTGACTGTTGAGAGCACCCTTCTGGGTAGCGACACACAATCTTCCAGGACTTGTCAGATGGACTAGATACATTGAAAAACGGAGCTTGGCACATTTGCTTTATGGAAGCAAAATAATTCACGCAAATGCTTTATTCTTCACAACTACATACATTTTGTCAGACAATGTAATGGAAAAGAACATATTTACAGTCATAACAGTCACTGGCCAATGTAATATTTGCTCCTGTATTTATCTACTCTTTGTGAGTGTCTCAATATTTTAATGTCATTTTACTACAAACACTTATCCATAAATAATGCCATTCGGAATAGTATTTGATGAATGCAATTGTCCTCTGAGGTTTGATTTAGGCAAAGTTTCACTTTAATTAAATGGGCGTGTATTAATGTTCTTCACGCTCTTAGCTCACCCCAGTGAATTGGGAGGATTAAGACAGAATACTATAGACAGATTATTTTGATTGACTCATCATTTTACAAAACCAGAGGGAAAAGATAGGCTATTCCCTTTCACTCAATGTTGTTCAAATGTTGTCAAATCTAGATCAAAGGAACTTGGTTATATGAGCTATTAGTATATTCCCCATTAAAGAGGAATTCATTTTAAAAGCTCAAAATTTACAAACCACAATTTTGAACAGATGATTACAGCATTGGTTGTGTAATTCTCCTCCTTTTTATAGAAAATATTTTTGGTGATATAATGCTATGCTATATTGTCTGCATCTGTACATTTCAAATTGTATTACCTTTTGACTGGATTTATTAAGATATTTCATAGTCTCTACCGGTTGATATACTGTTAATTGACATTTTAGTGATCCAATTGACATTTTAGTCATTTAGCAGACACTCTTATCCAGAGCGACTTACAATTAGTGAGTGCATACATTTTTCATACTGGGCCCTCGTGGGAAATCAACAAACAAATGTGTACAACACAGCTATAAATGCACGCCTCCACGTGTATTGTAAAAGAGCTTTGCTTTTGGCTGCCATCAGCTTTTGCCTCAGTCCAATACCAAAGTTATCTGCAACATTGCATGATATGATTCTTCCAAACTTTGCTCAGAAGCTGTCAACTTGCTCTGTGTGTCTTTAAGTCAGCCATTTTCTTCCAAGTCACTGCAAACTATAAATTGCTTTACTGAGTCCACATACAGTGCTGTGAAAAAGTATTTGCCCCCTTTCTGATTTTCTCTGTTTTTGACACTGAATGTTATCAGATCTTCAACCAAAACCTAATATTAGATCAATGGAACTTAAGTGAAGAAATGACACAACAATTACATACTTATATAGTTTATTTAATAAACAATGTTATGCAACACCCAATGCCCTGTGTAAAAAAAAGTAATTGCACCCTTACACTCAAACTGGTTGTGCCAATGACTGCAACCAAATGCTTCCTGCAGTCTCTCACATCGCTGTGGAGGAATTTTGGCCCACTCTTCCATTGAGAACTGCTTTAACTCAGCGACATTTGTGGGTTTTCAAATATGAACTGCTCATTTCAGGTCCTGCCACAACATCGCAATCAGGATTAGGTCTGAACTTTGACTAGAACATTCCAAAACTTCAAATGTGTTGCTTATCAGCCATTCTGATGTAGACTTGATTGTGTGTTTTGGATCATTGTCTTGCTGCATGACCCAGCTGCGCTTCAGCTTCAGTTCAAGGACGGCTGGCCTGACATTCTCCTGTAGAATTCTCTGATACAGAGCAGAATTCATTGTTCCTTCAATGATGGCAAGTTGTCCAGGTCCTGAGGCAGCAAAGCATCCCCAAACCATCACACTACCACAACCATGCTTGACCGTTGGTATGAGGTTCTTACTGTGGAATGCAGTGTTTGGTTTTCGAGCAAACATAACGGGACCCATGTCGTCCAAAAAGTTATACTTTTGACTCATCTGTCCATAGAACATTCTTCCAAGAGTCTTGATGATCTTCCAGGTGTTTTTTGGCTAACTTCAGTATACTTTTTGGAGAACATGGGTCCCATTATGTCTAGCAAAAACCAAACACTGCATTCCGCAGTACAGTAAGAACCTTATACTAACGGTCAAGCATGGTGGTGGTAGTGTGATAGTTTGGGGATGCTTTTCTGCCTCAGGACCTGGACTACTTGTCATCATTAGAGTAACAATGCTCAGTATCAGAGAATTCTAGAATTCTACAGGAGAATGTCAGGCCATCCATCCATAAGCTGAAGCGCAGCTGGATCATGCAGCAAGACAATGATCCATAACACACAATCAAGTCTACATCAGAATGGCTGAAAAGCAACACATTTTATGTTTTGGAATGGCCTAGTCAAAGTCCAAACTTAATCCTGATTGAGATGTTGTGGCAGGACCTGAAATGAGCAGTTCATGCTTGAAAACCCACAAATGTTGCTGAGTTAAAGCAGTTCTGCATTGAAGAGTGGGCCAAAATTCCTCCACAGCGATGTGAGACTGATCAACAACTGAATGAAGCATTTGGTTGCAATCATTGCAGCTAAAGGTGGCACAACCAGTTATTGAATGTAAGGGGGCTATTACTTTTTCACACAGGGGCATTAAGTGTTTCATAACTTACTTATTACATTTATTTAATAAAGAATCAAATTGTTATGTGTGTACACAGATTTTGGTTGAAGATCTGATAACATTCAGTATCAAAAATATGCAAAAATGTAAAGAAATCAGAAAAGAGGCAAATACTTTTTCACAGCACTGTACTTGTTACGATTCAAGTATGGTAAAGTGTCATGAATATATAAATGTTGTAAGATGTTAATTCTATGTATTCAAAAATATATAGCTCAATAAAGTTGTACATTTCTCAAGATTGTTATCTGGTTTGTGGTGTCATTTCAATATTGTATATCACATTTCAATAAATGATCTGGGCTCCCAAAAGGACTGAATTTATCTAATATATAAACAACTTTTGGAAAGCTCATATTCTGAGCTAGCTATTAAAAAAGTATGGCCCACAGATCTAATTGAATCTGAACAACCCTTCATCTGAAACAGAATATGGAAAAATATGACCTTGGAATCCTGTAATCCGAACCATCAATTTATACATGTTAAATTTGTTCACAGACTGTATTTAACACCAAGGAAATGTTTTAGGATGAAATTAACCCTAACTGTTCACTGTGTCCCCTAAATCAGGTAGGAGGTAAGGAGGTGCCGTTCCCCTCACAGCTCCGTAGGCAATTACTTTATACTATTCCAGGTATTCCTTAAAGAGGTAGGGTTTCAAGTGTCTCCGGAAGGTGGTCAGTGACTCCGCTGTCCTGGCGTCTTGGGCGAGCTTGTTCCACCATTGGGGTGCCAGAGCAGCAAATAGCTTTGACTGGGCTGAGCGGGAACTGTGCTTCCGTAGAGGTAGGTGAGCTAGCAGGCCAGAGGTGGATGAACGTAGTGCCCTCGTTTGGGTGTAGGGTCTGATCAGAGCCTGAAGGTAAGGAGGTGCCGTTCCCCTCACAGCTCCGTAGGCAAGCACCATGGCCTTGTAGTAGATGCGAGCCTCAACTGGAAGCCAGTGGAGTGTGCTGAGGAGCGGGGTGACATGAGAGAACTTGGGAAGGTCGAACACCAGACGGGCTGCAGCGTTCTGGATAAGTTGTAGGGGTTTAATGGCACAGGCAGGGAGCCCAGCCAACAGCGAGTTACAGTAATCCAGACGGGAGATGACAAGTGCCTGGATTAGGACCTGTGCCGCTTTCTGTGCAAGGTAGGGTCGTACTCTGCGAATGTTGTAGAGCATGAACCTGCAGGATCGGGTCACCACTTTGATGTTAGCGGAGAACGACAGGGTGTTGTCCAGGGTCACGCCAAGGTTCTTTGCACTCTGGGAGGAGGACACAATGGAGTTGTCAACCGTGATGGCGAGATCATGGAGCGGGCAGTCCTTCCCCGGGAGGAAGAGCAGCTCCGTCTTGCCGAGGTTCAGCTTGAGGTGGTGATCCGACATCCACACTGATATGTCTGCCAGACATGCAGAGATGCGATTCGCCACCTGGTTATCAGAAGCGGGAAAGGAAATTAATTGTGTGTTGTCTGCGTAGCAATGATAGGAGAGACCATGTGAGGATATGACAGAGCCAAGTGACTTGGTGTATAGAGAGAATAGGAGAGGGCCTAGAACTGAGCCCTGGGGGACACCAGTGTTGAGAGCACGTGGTGCATACTCAGCAGACTTTTATTTTTTATAATCAGCAGACATGTCACCCACTGAGCATGTTTGGGATGATCTGGATCGACGTGTACGACAGCGTGTTCCAGTTCCCGCCAATATCCAGCAACGTTGCACAGTCATTGAAGAGGGATGGGACAACATTCCTCAGGCCACAATCAACAGCCTGATCAACTGTATGTGAAAGAGATGTGTTGCGTTGCACACCAGATACTGACTGGTTTTCTGATCCATGCCACTACCTTTTTTTAAAAAAAGGTATTTGTGACCAACAGATGTATATCTGTATTCCCAGTCATGTGAAATCCATAGATTAGGACCTAATTCATTTATTATGAACTGTAACTTTAAATGAACTGTAACTCAGTAAAATCATTGAAATTGTTGTAGGTTGCTTTATATTTTTGTTCAGTTTATATATATACACTAGATGACTGATAGGGGGCGCTGTGTTGAAGCCTCCGTGCCTCCATCTTGGCTCCATTGTAAAAAATATTTTGGAAGCTATACAAACTTTTTTTGTCCAAGTTTATTCTATTACAGGCCCCTTCATGCATACATTTACATTCTATTTTTATGTGAGCAAAAAATATATATAAATGTTTTCCTTAAAGTATAATTTTTTTTAGATTACTAATGTTATTGTCCCCACTACAACAAAAAACTATGTAAATACATGTCATTTTGTCCTTGAAACATTTAATTGAAATACTGTAGAATACCATTCATTCCTATGGAGGACTGCTCCTACTGGGGAGTGCCAATATGGCCAACCGGTGGCTTCAAAGCCTATCAATGGCCAATACATAACATTTGCAATCCAGGCTCCCAAAACAATTTCCAAATGTTGCCTCACATCTATTCTGATGGTGGGGAGTGATGGTCGATGACATCTATGATCAACTGCGTTACCTTGCTTGAGCAAATTCGAATCACTCACTGGTCACTCATCGTGTAATGCCTGATTGTTTTCAAAATGGAAGCGCAGAAGAATGCACGTGAACTTTTCACTGAAGCAGTGAGAGCAGTCCTAGAAACTTGGCCTGTTTTACAGGTAGGTGAATATGTCATATATCAAACACTGTATATTCGGGCACAGGCTCTAATGGTGTAATTATTCCGTCATAAATAGCAATAATGTCACACGAGCCGTGCTGACACCTGGCTAGCTTGCTACTGTAACTACGTTAGCTATCTGTAGTTTGTGGACTGTGCTGTATTTTTCCTCCATATACTGTTTGGTTAGCTAGCTCTATAGCGACAACGTTATAAGCGTGTCAGCCTCAAAGAGATCCATAATGTACACCGATTAAACAGTATACCGATGTTTGTAGTTACGTGTGTAATAAATAGTGTACAAACGTTGTTTTGCAGATCGCAGTTGATAATGGGTTTGGAGGCGTGTACGGCCAACAGAAGGCAGACTGGATGGTGGATGTGGTCCAACAATATTTTCATGACAACGGTAACCTGACCCATGATTTCCATACATAGACTAACGTTACCCAAAGAATATCTATTGTATTATTATATACACTGCTCAAAAAAATAAAGGGAACACTTAAACAACACAATGTAACTCCAAGTGAATCACACTTCTGTGAAATCAAACTGTCCACTTAGGAAGCAACACTGATTGACAATATATTTCACATGCTGTTGTGCAAATGGAATAGACAACAGGTGGAAATTATAGGCAATTAGCAAGACACCCCCAATAAAGGACTGGTTTTGCAGGTGGTGACCACAGACCACTTCTCAGTTCCTATGCTTCCTGGCTGATGTTTTGGTCACTTTTGAATGCTGGCGGTGCTTTCACTCTAGTGGTAGCATGAGACGGAGTCTACAACCCACACAAGTGGCTCAGGTAGTGCAGCTCATCCAGGATGGCACATCAATGCGAGCTGTGGCAAGAAGGTTTGCTGTGTCTGTCAGCGTAGTGTCCAGAGCATGGAGGCGCTACCAGGAGACAGGCCAATACATCAGGAGACGTGGAGGAGGCCGTAGGAGGGCAACAACCCAGCAGCAGGACTGCTACCTCCACCTTTGTGCAAGGAGGAGCAGGAGGAGCACTGCCAGAGCCCTGCAAAATGACCTCCAGCAGGCCACAAATGTGCATGTGTCTGCTCAAACGGTCAGAAACAGACTCCATGAGGATGGTATGAGGGCCCGACGTCCACAGGTGGGGGTTGTGCTTACAGCCCAACACCGTGCAGGACGTTTGGCATTTGCCAGAGAACACTAAGATTGGCAAATTCGCCACTGGCGCCCTGTACTCTTCACAGATGAAAGCAGGTTCACACTGAGCACGTGACAGACGTGACAGAGTCTGGAGACGCTGTGGAGAACGTTCTGCTGCCTGCAACATCCTCCAGCATGACCGGTTTGGCGGTGGGTCAGTCATGGTGTGGGGTGGCATTTCTTTGGGGGGCCGCACAGCCCTCCATGTGCTCGCCAGAGGTAGCCTGACTGCCATTAGGTACCGAGATGAGATCCTCAGACCCCTTGTGAGACCATATGCTGGTGCGGTTGGCCCTGGATTCCTCCTAATGCAAGACAATGCTAGACCTCATGTGGCTGGAGTGTGTCAGCAGTTCCTGCAAGAGGAAGGCATTGATGCTATGGACTGACCCGCCCGTTCCCCAGACCTGAATCCAATTGAGCACATCTGGGACATCATGTCTCGCTCCATCCACCAACGCCACGTTGCACCACAGACTGTCCAGGAGTTGGCGGATGCTTTAGTCCAGGTTTGGGAGGAGATCCCTCAGGAGACCATCCGCCACCTCATCAGGAGCATGCCCAGGCGTTGTAGGGAGGTCATACAGGCACGTGGAGGCCACACACACTACTGAGCCTCATTTTGACTTGTTTTAAGGACATTACATCAAAGTTGGATCAGCCTGTAGTGTGGTTTTCCACTTTAATTTTGAGGGTGACTCCAAATCCAGACCTCCATGGGTTGATAAATTTGATTTCCATTGATAATTTTTGTGTGATTTTGTTGTCAGCACATTCAACTATGTAAAGAAGAAAGTATTTAATAAGATTATTTCATTCATTCAGATCTAGGATGTGTTATTTTAGTGTTCCCTTTATTTTTTTGAGCAGTGTACTTTGCCTCTTCCTCTCTGCGTTACCGCACAACTGCTATGATGAAGCACCCGTGTCTGCTCTGTTTAGATCACTTATTGACATGCTGAACAGTTCCAGCCAGCCTTCCAGCTAATTGGATGTTGTTTGTTTACAGCAAACCTGCAGCCAGATGAAGTGGAGGACTACATAGCAGACCTTATGAACAATGAGTTTGATACAGTGGTGGATGATGGCAGTTTACCTCAGGTGCACATCTTGTGTTTTCAATTTAGACATTTAAAATGTCAACACACAATATTGGGGCTATCTGAACCTACCAATGTCTTTTCATTTTCAACCATCCGCATTCTTAATGTCAAGAAGTATCTAAATCAATGCTTTCTTCATTGATCAGGTGGCACAGAAAGTTAGCCAGATCTTCACGCAGTGTCAACAAGGAAAGCTTGCAGAGGTCAAAGAGCAGATAGCCAAACTTAAGAAGAGTGCAGAACGAGCCAAGGTCACACCTCAACCAAACAATGCTGATGGAGAGGAGAGTGATGGAGATGAGACAGAGGTATGACGTGTTTTACTGGTATAACTGTCAAATTAACTATTTTGGACTGAAAGTCAGTCGTGTCAATTATGAAAAGGTTGTCCTTATGTAATCCACAGTCCATGGAGTTTGAAGCAGCAACGTCAACAAACCCCCCGAGTAGTGCAGCACCCAAACAGACAGATAAACCCCAGTCTCAAGAGGAAGACGATGGCTGGACGACGGTAGTGCGCAAGAAGTGACACTACTGTAGCAGTCCAAGTAAAGAACAGAGGAAGTGCCGAGTGAATAAATGAATTAGGATTTTACTGCCGCTTAAGCTCTGGAATCGCTTCCTAACACTGTTGCTGTTTTCTTTTATACGTGTCCCTCCTATGGCTCTGTCATATTGGGAGGATGGACATATCTTCTGATGAGCTGAGGAAAACCTGGACACGTATACCTCGGAGTTCATTTATGCAGGTGTCAGGAGGCATCTGACGAACTGTCACTGTTTATTACAAGAATTTCAGTGTTTTTGTAAAGCTGCATGTGTGGAATTACATTTAAAAAGGAGTACATTGAAATCAATTTAAGTAGCGATTAAGTAACCATCTTTATAGTGTATACCACTCACCTACACAATGGTGTGTATTACTGAGAAAGGGATAGAAAGTGTAAGCCTTTGCACTGATCACAATTACATTAACTGTGATCCATGTTCTCTTTTGATATCAGATGGATAGAAGTCTACCTGCTTACAGCATATGACTATTTACAGTATCATAGTAAAAGTTGTCTACAGTGCTAAATACAAAACTTGTCAACAGCCAACTTAAGAATAGTAAATTAAGTACATTAAATCAATTCACCATCTCTTGGCCACATTATGACAGTGGCATACAGTACTCTAAATAAACTGGCTGAATCTGGTTTCCGAAAAAGATTTATTCTGAAGAACACAGGTTGTAAGATATCTGGTCTTTCTTTCAGTCATGTTTAAATACATTTTGTGTTCACAAAATAAGAAGCATTCCACATACAGTTTGGCGACATGTATAAAAAAAAGTTTTTTTAAAGTTTTGTTTTTTTACACCTGGCACATCAAGGCACTATTTTAACAAATGTGACTCAGCACAATGAGAAGTAGATCATCCATTTTAAAACAAACTACATACATCATATTCATCCCAACCATTTACAGAACCTGTAATGCTGCTTTAATAAATAAATAAAATCTGTAGATTTAGGTTACTGCTACTTATGTGCTCAGAGTAATGGTAATGTCAGTTTATATTAACTTTAGATAAATACTCACATTTCATTTAGAAAAGATCTCCATCTAGGCTGAGAATAACCACACTGACTTACAGTAGAACAGTATGGACTCAGTGGTATACGGTAAAGGTTAGACGCATGGTAGTTGTGTTGTGGTGGTGGTCAGTAGTCTACAAGTTGAGCCAGGGGTGCTGCAAACACTGGGCGGCAGTGGCTCTCTTCTCTGGTGTGACGTCCAGCATGGTTAGGAGGAAGTCACTGAACTGGGCCGCCTGCTCCAGTGGCCACTCATACTTCTCCAACAGCACCTCAAACAGACCCCACGGCTTCAGGTTGGCTATGTGCCTCAGCTCACCTTCAGGAGGGAAACAATACAATATATTGTTACAGTGAGCTAAACACCAACATTATACCACAATATAAAATGGGGCCATTGATGGTCTCTCAGATCTTACTAGGCAACTAGATGTTACCATACAGGTATGTCAGCTTGGCGCCCCCTTGTGCACACAATGTGCTAGTCATTTTGAGAATATTTCTAGAAACATTGGTTTTAGGAATGTTGAAGGAAAATATATTGTAGTGGCACATTCTAAGCAGATGACCACTCGAGTAATACGAGACAGGACACGTGAATTGTAGTACTGTAACATTATCTAAATCGGTCTGAGGGACTTTTCTTGACACGTTTCTCAACAACGCATTGTCCACTTGAACCAGGCCATTCTGTGACTCATAGCTTTTACATACAGTACAAAACCATTAAACAAGAATATATTTTACTTTTTTGCACCTAATTTACGGTAAGACTTACCTCGCCTGTCAAAGTATTCTCGTGAATATCTCCCAGACAGCGCAAAAGGGGGCGGAATGGCTCCCATTAACTCAATGATGTGTGCAATGTGATCTGAGAGAACAGAAGAGAGCATTACATCACTGTTAAATTCACATTAACATGGGCTTGAACAGCTTCTTTACATCCAAGCATGAAACATACATAGCTTAGACCAGAGGTTCACAAACCTTTCCTTGGAGACCCCCAGATCAGGTATTTCACAATTGTCACCTAATGAGGGCTTTTTGATAAATTGCTGATTGGAATCAGGTGTGCTAGCTCTGGAATAGATCAAATACCTGGAATGGCTGGTGTCCCCTGAGAAGAGGTTTGAGAACCACCGGCCTAGACAATACAAGGAGGGTACTGACCCCTCAAACTCAACTATGGACCTGGAATCCAGTTCCACTGCATTTTTTCATTGTTCCCCTCCAACTGATTTAAACCTGGGACACCAGGTGGGTGCAACTAGTTATCAGGTAAAACAGAAAACCAGCAAGCTCCGGACCTCATAGGGTAAAAGTTGAATACCCCTGGTACAGACCTTCATCTCTAGTGTAGTCCTCTCCTGAGTGGGGCTCGAACAGGTAATCGCCCGTGGCCAACTCAAACGCCTGCAACAACATGTCACGTCAGTCAAAACGCAATCCACAGAAGGGCAAAAGAGATCCCAGACGAAACATGACAACTGTCTGACACAACTTGGGACACACATCGGACGATTAGATGGGGTGAAGTAGGTGGTTTGAGTGATAAAGGAGAGAGGTGCCATCACCGTTTTGTAGCTTACCATGCAGGCTACGCTCCAGATGTCTGCCGGAGTGCCGTATTCTGCCCCTATCAATACCTCCAGGGCACGGTACTGACGTGTCTGGATGTCTTCAGTGAAGTGTTTGTGCTGGAGAAGTAGAGGGGGGCTCATTAACACCCCACTGTTCTTTCCCCATCTCCACACGTCACATGAGAACAGCTCCTAGTCCAGGTTATCATGAGGAAAACCAGAACATACAGATACAGATCTTGTTCTTCCTGTTGAAAACAGTCACTTACCACCCAACAGGCATTGCCCAGGTCTGCTATCTTGATGCGGATTTTGTCAGCATTCTGTGGTTCCAGGGGATTGACCAGGAAATCTGCTGCGCTGAACACTAGAGCGACACAGACGTACAATTTAGCTCATAATCACAACATCTAAATACAGAGAACAGTAACAATATAGCAACTGCATGCTGGTGCCAGATGTACATAGGGCAACATAAGTGACAGACAGGATCACAGAGAGAGATGCCTAGTGAGATACTGACTGCTGGGGGAGATTCCGGAGCGTTGGCTGTCTCTCCCGGTGGAGTAGCCTGACAGGGTGGAGAGTGCTGACTCAGACGTGGCTGACAGTATGGAGCCAGCAGACATCCCTGACATCCCAGACAGGCCAGAGCCAGGGCTGCAGAAACGCATGGGGTTGTGTCCGTTACAGCCCTCCTCGATCCACAACGAGCCAGACTCCGGGCTGGCCTTGGTGTTAGCCATGGACGAGCCGCAGGTATAGCAGTTCCCGTTTTCATTCCCCTTCACCACAGAGGAGTCTGGCAGAAGAAATGGTATCAAGAACATATCGATTTAATACAGAGACTCAACCAGGACATACAGCTGCTACTAAATCACTGTTATGAAGGGATTGGCATTGCATAGCAGTGTCAGTAGTAGAGGTGGACCACTCACTGTTGGCGTTCCTCTCTGGGTCCCCAGCAGCGTCGTCCTGTCCCCAGGGGTTGCGTAGAGGGTTGGAGGGGTCTGGTGGAGAGGTCCCGTCCAGCTCCTCCATCTTCTGAAGGTCCACCAGTCTCTCCTCCAGCAGACGCTGCTGCCGCTTGGCCTTCCTCTTCAGCTTCTTCTTCTTGTTCTTCGTCACCTTGCCGCTCTAGACACACAGACGGAGACAGATACAGGGTCAGGCCATCATGATGCCAGCCTGACTGACCATGTGATGCTCCCTGATAACACTACTGACACTGTAGATACTTATGACTCCAGTACACAGTACCAAAGGGTCCTAGACAGAGAGTACATGCCAGGCAGAAAAATAGGAAAGAGTGCAGAAAGGAAGTACCAAAGTGAGAAATATTCACAGTGTTAGCCTGTCTCTCATTAACAACTGGTCCTCAGACAGGTGAGCTTTAATACATGTTCTAATAATACTATGGAGTCCATCTACAACGGGGCTCAATTACATTTCACATGATTACTTTTGATTCTAATCCTCATTTCCATGGCAGAACCACTGCCCCACAACAAACAGAGTTTCGATTGCAAGTAAAACTTGTGTGGGCACTTAGGAAGCAGACTAAACATGACACCACCGCAACCTCTCTAAATCCTGCTAGCTAGATGACCACTCTATTCTGAGCTCCAGCATGTTGCCATCGCCAGTTCTCCAGTAGGTCTCTTACAGAAAGCCCATCCCATCTGACACCATCCCTCAAAGCTGACCTGGTGAACTCACGTGTCCACGGCTGTCTGAACAGGCTTTGGCTCAGTGGGTTAGCTAGCTCTGCTGTGATCTGCTGAGGAAGCTAACGTGAGCCACACCTGGAATTTGAGGAAGGGTCAACTGTACCACAAGGGATCAGATGGCATGCGGTTTTCCACCTGAATAACAGTGCTGCAGCTTTAAACTTCCCCCAGACATGACCAGGGGTGCAACAGCACACGCTCCAGTTTAAAAGTCCTTGAGGTTGTTTATTCCACTGCATATAACGTAGTCTACTTGTTAATGGATTTGGTATGAAATGTTGTCTACGCTACAGTAATCCATTAATGTATGGTGCCCTTTAAGCGCCAAATGCCAATCACGTGATAATTCATGAAGTTAAAATGCATCGTTCAAAACAAACATTCTAAGAACTGCATACAGTGGGCTAGAAGCCTTCTTGGTACTGGAGGTATATTAAGAGGGAAACGTGATATGTTTTCACCTGCCGTGATGATCATTTCCTATTTCAAATACGAATTTAAAAAAGCACTGATATAGATCCATACGGAGAGAACAGAGATACACAGACATCAGAAAGGAGGGTAGCTGTAAAGAGAGAGCCTATAGGATAAAACTGTATCAAGTCAAAGTGCTGACACTTCCTCACATCAACAAAAACTGGTGAGAAAAACCCTACAAACCCAACAAAGAAACTGGGTAAATGATTATGTTCTTTGTTGGACAGCGACAGGAGGATGAAACGATGCTTACATAAAAAGTCAGCCATGGGGCAAAGCATTGTCCAGTGAGAATGTATTACTGTGAAGTGTCTGACTGTGACGATCCGGGCACCAAGACCCCATTCCCTCTCCACCATTTTCCCCCCATGTCGTTTAGAGAGCCAACTACTGTTTTGACATGCAGAGACAGATGATATACTACCTGGGTAGGAGACAAACCACTCCAGACACACACCAACCATCACACCGTCAGAAAATAATCATTAGGCAACATGATCACATCACACAAAAGCTGAGGTGAGTTATGATCAACGTGAAAGCATTGTTCACCAAAAGTGCTGTTTCTTTTTTTTGAGCAAGACTATCCCTTCTGTGGCAGGCAGGCAGACAGGCAGGACTTTAGTCTGAACATACCTGGTTCTCCCTTGGGGCGGTGCTAACTGCCATCAGAAAAGGAGGTAAAAAACGAAGGGAGGGACAGTAAACCGCAATGACCACAAAAACAAACACACAAGAAAAACAGGACAAAGTTAGAAACCAAATAGAGACAGAAGACATGACGATGAGCAGATTTGATAGCAGAAAGAGACAGACGCATAGGAAACATCTAAACATGCAAATTACAAATCACCACAGATTTACATCTAGACATATTTGACAAAGTTTGAGAAAGCAAAGGCTTTTGACAGAGTCAAAGTGAAAATAGATAGTTCTGTCTGTATGTGTACAGCAGGGGTTTCAGCGAGGTCCGGAGGGCCACACTGACATTTCTTTATATTTCCTTGCCATCAAAATTCAAAGAAAAAAAGAACTCTGTGCATCGTGAAGAGACTATTTATGTAGACCCATTATAATTTCTACAGTTTCGATTTGGTTTTAACCAGTAAAATGGTAATTGACACCCCTGGTGTACAGTATAATATACACATTACAGTGAAGCCAGTAATTTGTGAAGTCCAATTACATTTTAACAATTACAGCACACATACAGACACACATAAAGCACTCACAAGATGTCCCTATGCTATAACCCTCAGAACAATTTTGACTAATAACAAACATGTTTTTATGTTAAAGGTCTAGACGTTTTCGTCATAATGAACCAACCAGCTCACCTGATGAGCCCGAGGGAGGAGGGGCTCCTGACTGTTGCCACATGGTAGCCTCCGCAGCCAGCCGTCTGACGTACACCTCATCTACATCCAGCAGGATGTTCTCCGGCTTGATGTCTGTGTGGATGATCTTACATTTGGTGTGCAGGTAGTCCAAGCCCTGCAGAACCTGTGGAGGACGAGACATCGAGCATGTATAAAAGGTGGTCGAGATGGATATGTGGAACTGGCCAGTCTCTAGTAAAGCGTTACTGACTACTGTACCATTAACAAAACTGCTCGCTATGGTAATATCTAATACGTTAATCATATTTTCCAGTTTCCCTGGCTATTTTCTAAATGCTGCAACTGTGAAACCTGCTTCATGTGCTATAAATGTGCTATAATCAGAGGAGAAAGTGCTGTGATATACCACTGTACCTGTCGGAGAATGCTCTTCACACAGACTAGAGGAAGGCCCATATAGTTGGACTTGATGATCCACTTCAGCAGCTGGTGACCCAGAACCTCCAGCACCATACACACATCTGACACACCAGTTAAGGAGAAGCTGCTTCACTCAAACTCACACATGAAAGACCCCTTTAATACGCAGACCAAAATCATATTTATTTACCATGCCTGCATTTGTATATATATCTGAAAAGAGTAGGGGGTAAAAAAAACATGGACAAATTAAAAGCCACCTAATGACCTAGTCATGATTCCTGTATTTTCACAGACCCTGTGACCAAAACACAGGTATTGTGTGTGTGAATGATTCTCTGCTTTTTTGCAGGTAAATTCATTAACACTTCCATTGTTTAACACCTCCTTAATTTGAACCGCAAACAGCCCCCTTGGTTTACCACCCACCCCTTCCAATTGGCCAGTTACCCACTGATATGTATAAAAGTGGTAAATTAGGGGCTGTTTGAAAGGTCATATAAACATTGCCTTATATTTTTTACAGGTAACATACCATATCTTCTGTCTGAAGAAAACAGGGCAAATAGTAGTACAGGCAAGTAGGAAGAAGTGGTGTGAAAGGTTTGGAAGATGACAGGGTCCCCCAAACCCAGTTGATTACAGGGTCCACCAAACCCAGTTGATTACAGGGTCCACCAAACCCAGTTGATTACAGGGTCCACCAAACCCAGTTGATTACAGGGTCCACCAAACCCAGTTGATTACAGGGTCCACCACACCCAGTTGATTACAGGGTCCACCACACCCAGTTGATTACAGGGTCCACCAAACCCAGTTGATTACAGGGTCCACCAAACCCAGTTTCAGCCGGTGAGCAGCAGAAAGGATACGCACGCCATTGACCCCGGATATCTTGAAGTCATCAATAAGCTGTACAATGGTCTCTCGTTTGGGGTCTGTAGGGTCACTGTCTCGCACCTTAGGACACAAAATAAGTACAGAAAAGTTAATTCAATTCAGAAACAGTGTGATCTATCTGTGCCTTTGGAAAGTATTCAGACCCCTTGACTTTTTCCACATTACATTACAGCCTTATTCTAAAATGGATTAAATAAAAAAAACAGAAATACCTTATTTACATAAGTATTCAGACCCTTTGCTATGAGACTCAAAGTGACTCGAAGGTGCATCCTGTTTCCATTGATCATCCTTGAGATGTTTCTACAACTTAATTGGAGTCCACCTGTGTTAAATTCAATTGATTGGACATTATTTGGAAAAGCCCACACCTGTCTATATCAGGTCCCACCGTTGACAGTGCATGTCAGAGCAAAAACCAAGCCATTAGGTCGAAGGAATTGTCCATAGAGCTCCGAGACAGGATTGTGTCGAGGCACAGATCTGGGGAAGGGTACAAAAAAAATGTCTGCAGCATTGAAGGTCCCCAAGAACACATTGGCCTCCATCATTCTTAAATGGAATAAGTTTGGAACCACCAAGACTCTTCCTAGGGCTGGCTGCCCGGCCAAACTGAGCAATCGGGGGAGAAGGGCCTTGGTCAGGGAGGTGACCAAGAACCCGATGGTCACTCTGACAGAGCTCCAGAGTTCCTCTGTGGAGATGGGAGAACCTTCCAGAAGGACAACCATCTCTGCAGCACTCCACCAATCAAGCCTTTATGGTAGAGTGGCCAGACGGAAGCCACTCTTCAGTAAAAGCCACATGACAGCCCGCTTGGAGTTTGCCAAAAGGCACCTAAAGACTCTTAGACCATGAGAAACATGACTCTCTGGTCTGATGAAACCAAGATTGAACTCTTTGGCCTGAATGCTAAGCATCACGTCTGGAGGAAACCTGGCACCATCCCTACGGTGAAGCATGGTGGTGGCAGCATCATGCTGTGGGGATGTCTTTCAGCGGCAGGGCCTGGGAGACTAATCAGGATCGAGGAAAAGATGAACGGAGCAAAGTACAGAGAGATCCTTGATGTAAACCTGCTCCAGAGTGCTCAGAACCTCAGACTGGGGCGAAGGTTCATCTTCCAACAGGATAATGACCCTAAGCACACAGCCAAGACAACGCAGGAGTGGCTTCAGGACAAGCCTCTGAATGTCCTCGAGTGGCCAAGCCAGAGCCCCGACTTGAACCCGATCGAACATCTCTGGAAAAACCTGAAAATAGCTGTGCAGCAACGCTCCCCATCCAACCTGACAGAGCTTGAGAGCATCTGCAGAGAAGAATTGGAGAAACTCCCCAAATACAGGTGTGCCAAGCATGTAGCGTCATACCCAAGAAGACTCGCTGCTGTAATCACTGCCAAAGGTGCTTCAACAAAGTACTGAGTGAAGGGTCTGAATACTTGTGTAATGTAATCTTTCCGGGTTTTTTTTTGTTTTTTTTTTTTACAAATTAGCAAAAAGTTCTAAAAAACAGTTTTTGCTGTGTCATTATGGGGTATTAATTTTAGAATAAGGCTGTAACGACACAAAATGTGGAAAAAGTCAAGGGGTCTGAATACTTTCTGAAGGCACTGTATGCTAGAGACGTTTGTTAAAATGTACCAGACTACGACTCCCCAGTGTTGGGCTAGCTAGCCATCTACACAGTACAATGATTATTACATCAATCAATTTCACCGAACTACTATGCCATTTGTTTTGGAGGATGCCCTTGGGCTTGTAGCCATTAATGAGTTCTGTCTGCTGTATGTCTGAGGGTGAAAGAAATGGGAATGCACTCACACATCTGAGCAGTTTAATCTCATCCAGCGCCGTCTCTGTGTAGTGCAGAGCACTCTTCACCACTTTCAGCGCCACAAAGCGCTTCCTCCTACACACAAACACAATCATTTCGTGACTCAAACTGATTTTTAAAAAAAAACAGCTAGCCATTAATGAAAACTGAATGAAACAAATGGATGGGAATTAAAAACAAAGGATAAATATCATTAGGCTTCTCGTTTGTGTATTACTGGTATAGATTTACAGATGCACTCGAAATCAGTCACTTACTGCAGGTCCCAGCATAGCCACACAGTAGAGAAGTGACCCCAACCAAGCTTCCTGACTACGTGATACCGCCCATTGAACAAGTCTCCAATCTTCACTGGGTAGTACCCACCTGAAATATACATAGACTTTCACTCACACAGGCTTATTAGCATTATTGCATCATCCTAGTTGATAAATTGTATTGTGAGGTTGACATACTGTATCTACAAGGTCATCATATCATAAGTATTATTACAAAATCCACATTGTGACTTCATTCATTACATAACCACCAAGTAATTCCACTCCCTGCTGATTTTTCAAATACAATGACCTTGACCGTCACTTTCCTAATCTGCCACACTATTGCATCGATCCATTGTGGAGAGATCCATTAGACAATTATGTCGCCTACCTTTGCAGTAATCTGATGGGTCCTCCTGTTCCTCATCGTCTGATCCGAGCAGCTCTGTTGGTGGAGGGGTGAAGTCAGGAGGGGGTGGGCTGAGAGCCTGTGGAGGGGTGGTCTGAGATGAGGAGGTCAGTGGTTTAGGTGGAGTAGCGGACAGAATTGGAGGGATCCCTAGTGAGGGTGCTATGGGGGTGGACAGTACGGGGGTGGACAGTACGGGGGTGGACAGTACGGGGGTGGACAGTACGGGGGTGGACAGTACGGGGGTGGACAGTACGGGAGTGGACAGGGGTGGACAGTACGGGGGTGGACAGAGTGTCAGAGGAGGGAGTTAATGGTACAGGAAGTGGCTGGGTGGTTAGAGCGGGAGGACGTAAGAGATGGGGAGGGCTCTGGGAGAGGTCGAGTGGGGCATGGGGTTGGCGGTCCGGGGGCCTCTGGGACAGGTTGAGGGGAGGGGTGGGAGAGGTCTTTGGTGGAGTCGCAGGCCTGTGTATTGTGAGGATGCGACACAACTCATCTGCAGTTGGAATCTGGGACCTGAAACAAAAACACAGAACTGCCTGATGAAACAACCGTCTCTATATGGTTTCTCTGTTTGCCTTTAAGAAGGTGGTGGTGGTGATAGCTTTGCCTAAACAATAACAACCAGCAAAATATCCCTTTATCTGAAAAAATAGACAAACTGATTACATCAGTTATATTTAACTAGTCATCTAAAAGACTGACTTGACATTCAGCAACGGAAATACTGCGATGCTCTTGTAAACAAGAAGCCTGCGTGCGCTTCAACACAGACAATGAGGGGTTTGTGTTTTATTATGAGTGAGACGTGCGTCACAAATTAAACTGGAGTGCTGACTGTGGCCTGTCTCCAAAATTCCTTGGTGGATTATGCAATTACCAAGGGATAATGTTAGTCGAAGTAGTGCACCCCCCCCCCATATCTAAATTTGCATGGTCCCCACACTTATTTGTGATAGCAGTGAAATGGGTATTGTTAAGGTTTGCCAGGGTTAAACTGAAATAGGCACAGAGCAGGAGAGGGGAGAGGCATGAGTCAATGTGCTTATCTGGAGAGGTGAGTCGCTCCACCGCCCCTGTGTATTTATAGCACATAGCTACTAGCTAGACAGAACCAGCTGCAAGATCTGGTACATGCTGGTAGCCTACGCATAGACTGGGAATAACGTTAGAGTAACCGACTTTGCTCACCCAATATCCAAACTGGGGAGGTTGTCACCGGATCCTTTTCGATGTTTCTTACCTTTCTTCTTATGCTTCTTACTGTGGGTGCTATGCGGGTTGTTATTACCGCTGGACACTGCTGGCGATCAGGGAATATATCATTATTAACTACCATATATCCACAAGGCTAACGTTACGGCTATCACAGAGCTGCCTTCTAGTATCTGCAGTACTCACTCGCATGGACAATCCGCTAGAGTTGCTATGCGGGATCCCTGGGACGTCCATACCCTAACCCCCTACCCCAACCCTAACCTAAACCCTTGACTTCACCATTTTAAAATGTCAACTTCAATGGGGTAACTTAGGTACGTCCCAAGGATCCAAGGTAGCAAGGACCATTCAGATAGCGCTAACTGGCCATATTACATTGCCATTTGCAAATTGGACTACTTGCCAGCTGCGGATTTTTATGTGTGAAACCTGAATACGTGTAAAACTTAGTAACAAAACGGACAAATATTGGAAAGAAAACACATTGCCACTGAAATATTTTTAACACATTAGCTAGCTCGTTAGCTGGCTAGTTTAGCTAGCTAGCTAACAAGGAGTGTCTGTGCTAGCTGGTTAGCTTGCGTGCGCCAGACAGCTGGCTGGCTAACGTTAGCTAGGCATTTTTTATACAATGACAGAAACATACAAACCAATTCTTACTCAACGATGAGATAAATTCAGCGTCATACTACTAACTTTATCATTTACATTGTGTTAAACAGTAGATACAAACATAATATTTGGCACGTTTTAAAACTCTCACCGTTCATCGATATCATCAGTGCAGCTGTCACCGCGCACACTGCTGGCAGGCTGTATTTAGGTTCGCGCGTGCGCTGTAGCTATGAGCACAAGAGCTTTGGGAGCAGTGGTAGGGCCAGGGAACAGTGGCGGGGTCAAGGGGATTTGTGCATGGCAAATCATTTAGTTATAATCTGCACAATCATTTAGTTATAATCTGCACAATCTGTTAAATTTACCCTGGTCAATTGTCATTTCAATTAACCTGGCATGTGCCTACCATTTATTATTGAAGGATATAATTTATCAATCCGTAATGAGCTTATTATAAAATCTGTGGCCTATTCCATTGTTTATGTTTCAGTTGTTGTTGGTAACAAAACAATGTATAGTATAAACGTATGTTTAAAATGATCTTGCCTATCTCATGGACTGTAATTCCTTGCATTCATAGCTCCATCAATGAATTTGATGACAATGAAGGTGATTACATTTCCCCAGCCCCACTCCTCAGCTTTGGCTATACCAAACCTAGTGGATGGCCTGTGGGGTGCAAGACCAGTATAGTTACCGATAGACTTATTGAGGCTTCCTGGTCGCTTGTGCCAACTCATGGCTTGTTTGTCACGGTTATGCTGAAATAAAAACTTGGCCCAACGTTGTTTGTTTTCGATGTAGGATAGTACTGAGTAATGGAGATGTTTGGCTGGACAGAGGTTTAGCATATGGATGCTGAATGTGATACATTGGGGGTAAATGTAATATAAATGTCATATACTGGAAGGGGTTGGCACTGGTCAGATTGTCTGTCTCTACAACACTGACTCCTGTCTGTGTCTACAACCCTGTTATTGTAAAGACAGGAGTACGAGGAGGTACAGCAAGAGGGGGATTGTGGGAGGAGGGAGACATTTGGATAGACATTGGAAAGGGAGGAGAAATAGGAGACAAAAATAAGAGACGTAAGAACTTTCTGTCTGGGGTGTCTTTGGGATTGGGAGATGAGGTTAGAGGAAAGATTGGGAAGAGTGGGGTTGTGGTTTACTGCATGTTCTTGTCAGACAGTCAAATTTAGGTGTGTTGTCTCGTGTCTCTCCAATGTTTACTCTGGTAAGTCACCTCAGGACAAGTATCTGTCTGTTTGAGTGTTTACTGTAAAACGAACAACACCTCTGTCTGCTCCCAAATGGACCTTTTGGACTGGAGGTCTGGATGGGCTGGGATTATCACCCTCTCTGACGTTCTAGGACTAGTCATTAATGCACAAACGCACACACACACACACACAAAAAAACGCACAAATGCACTCTTGTGCACACACACACTAAACATTGGTATGTAGTGGCTAGGTTGGTTTTTGACCTGGGACTCCTCTGGAACCTCAGATATCATATATTTATATTCACATCATTTGATATTTCTGTAAATGTACACCTTGTAACCCTGCATAGCTGTTGTCTGTGATATACAGTGTGTGATGAATATACACACATTGTAAAGAAGCATGTGTGTGTTGCTGAGGTTGTAACAGATGACATCTGAGCAAGTGCCTGGCAATGACATATACACATTGCTAATGTATATACATTATGTGTGTGTGTGTGTGTGTGTGTGTGTGTGTGTGTGTATTTACTATGCAAACAGAGAGTGACAAGTCAGCAAGATTCACTCTGCAGTGTGAGGTTAGCCAACAACAGAAGTGGCACCTGCTTGGTTCAGTCAGTGTGTGTGTGTGTGTGTGTGTGTGTGTGTGTGTGTGTGTGTGTGTGTGTGTGTGTGTGTATGCTGTATATATGCAGAGATTGTATAATACGTGTGTTTGAGGGAGATGGGGTTTGTTAGCGATTGTATGTGTGTTACAGCCTTGACAAGGCTATTTTTCATTTCTAAAACGGTCTTACCTCTTTTCGTACATACTGTGGATGCCAATGGAAGGAGGCCAGACAGGGGTGACTCCAACCAGAGCAGTTATTGTCTGCTTTCTCTTATGTAGACACAGATCCAGGATCAGTTTATTCAAAGAACGCAAAACTGACACAGGAGGTTGGTGGCACCTTAATTGGGGAGGACGGGCTCGTGGTAATGACTGGAACGGAATTATTTTCCCATGTGGTTAATGACATTCCATTTGCTCTGTTCCGGCCATTATTATTACATTTACATTTTAGTCATTTAGCAGACGCTCTTATCCAGAGCAACTTACAGTTAGTGAATACATATATATTTTTTTGTTCATACTGGTCCCCCGTGGGAATCAAACCCACAACCCTATCAACTGAGCTACATCCCTGCCGGCCATTCCCTCCCCTACCCTGGACAACGCTAGGCCAATTGTGCGCCGCCCATGAGTCTCCCGGTCGCGGCCGGCTGCGACAGAGCCTGGATTCAAACCAGGATCTCTAGTGGCACAGCTAGCAATGCGATGCAGTGCCTTAGACCACTGCGCCACTCAGGAGATTATGCTATTCTCCCCTCAGCAGCCTCCTGTATAAACTGACCATAGATCAGAGTCTGAGGGCAGCTTCATCCTTACTCCCTATGTGGACCAGGAACATCCCACCAAGCCCATTTGTCTGTGACAGACAAAACAGCATGACAGACCACTGTCTCCTGCAAACACAAATGATGTCATCATCACCATTGTGTGTAAAAAAATTTCTGTTAACTTTCCTGTTCACTATAGATAGAGCTATCGAGGGCGCCAGCCGAGCCGGCCCCCTTACCCCCCAGGCTCCACCGCCTCGTCGTCTCAAGCCAGCAGGACAGGCGCGCTGCGCTCTCGATAGGTTGCGAACGGAATCTCTCCGGAGCGAGGGACGGACTCAGAACAGTCAGGCAGGGGGGAGGGGGGGGGGGCGGGGGGCCCCGGGGGAGGGGGGGGGGGAAAAGGGGGGAGGAGGGGGGGAGAGGGGGGGGAGGAGAGAAGGGGGGGGAGGGAGGGGGAAAGGGGAAACAAAGGGGAGAGAGGGGGAAAGGGGAAAGGGGGGAGAGAGGCCGAGGGGGAAGAGGAAAGGGAGCCAAAAAGGAGAGAAAGAGAAAGGGGGCGGAGGGGGAGAAAAAGGAGAGAGGGGGAGGAGAGAGAGGGGAGAGCGAGGGAGAGGAGGAAGAAAAGGGGCGAAAAAGAGAGGAGAGGAAAAGGGGGAAAAGGGGAGGGAAAAGAGAGGGAAAAAAAAGAGAGAAAAGGGGGAGGGGAACGGCAAAAGGATTTGGAAAAGGAGGAAGAAAAAAGGGGTTTTCTTTTTTCCCCCCTCTCTGTCCTCTTTTTTCTCCCCCTCTCTTTCTCCCCCCAGGGTTTTATTAAGGGAGAGGAAAAAGGGGACAGGAGTGGAGAGGGCAAGAGAGGACAAAATAGGACAGGAGAGGACAAGAGAGGAGGGCAGAGGACAGGAGAGGAGGGGTGATCAGTGTTTTCTGGAGAGATGAACGAAGGCCTTTGTTTAGAATATGAGAATCTACTTTCTCCCCCCTCTCCTTTCTGTGCCCTCCTCCTCCTCTTCCATCCCCTCTTTTTCACCTCTCACTTTTAGTTCTGCTGGTACAGTATCCTCTGGGGAGAGTGCTTAAAGAGTCGGGAGTCTCTTGGGAGTTCTGTCGTCCACGTCTCTTCTGCTTCACAGGTTTAATCTATGCCTGATTTTTGCTTCTGCAGGTGCTGCTATACTCAGGAGGATCTTTGTTACTTCTCTTTACTCCAAGACTCTGGACTGGAGGTGGTTTCAGAAACACAGCCCAGGTTTCAAAGTTTTTCCTTGTCTATAGTTATTTTTGTCTTGGATTATCCCAGTTAGTTTGTCTTGGACTATCCCAGTTAGTTTGTCTTGGACTATACCAGTTAGTTTGTCTTGGACTATACCAGTTAGTTTGTCTTGGACTAGTACAGTCTCCAATCCTGGGTTTTGGACTTGACCAACTGTAATACTGTGGGCTCATATCCAGAGACTTGACGTGACAATGCTGAGACTTTGGGTTTTGTGTCTCTGTGTGAGTGTTCTCAGTGTAGGGGTTCTAACTCTGATCCCCAAAGAACATGAGATAGAACACGAGGTGGAACATGAGCATGGACCATGGACCATGGAACATGAAGCGAGGGAACCCGATAAAATCTATGCAGAGACTCTAGTAACCCACCAACCTGCCACATACATTCCTATAATGGACACACATGCCACAGACCCAAATCTGACAGACATACCTGTTACAGAAACAACTGTGATCGGTACAGCTATTACGGAGTCAGACGTACCTGTAGTCGCCACAAGTCTTTCATCAGGTGAGTAAGTCTCTGTATGCCTCTTCTATGCATTCTCTGAGTGCTCTCTATAGTTGACAGAGCTGTCCTTAAACAGCCCCTTGCAGTCCGCCAAAACAGTGGGGATTTTAAGAGTCTAAACCCATGAAATGTTGTTTATAAAATATAGTTTTACCTTAATCTCTAATGCTGAAATCTAACCGTCTCTCTCAGCCCTACCCCTCACCTCATTACCGAATGAGGAAGAAGTCAGGGATGAGGAAGAAGGCAGGAAGGACGAGAATCCAAGAATTGAAGAGGAGGAGGAGAAGGGGAGAGTGAGGGATGAGCAGATGAGAAAGGATAGAGAGATGGAGCCGAGCAGAGGGAGGAGAGGAGCGGCGGGAAGGAGACATGCAGCAACTGTAGAGGCCACTGCATACAGAGTGGTAGGTATACAGACCTTTATGAGGCTAATGTCTTCAATTCTCCTTTATCCTCCCAGAGTCGATTGACGCACCGTTGTTTTTGTATTGGATGCCTCTCAATCCACCGCATCCGCCGATGTAGCACTTCCGTATCTGCGGTGAAAGGTGGCAGAGCTGGAGCGGTGTTTATCAGACCATGAGACATCCCGAAAATCGGTCTTCTCGCGAAAAACGTCTGTAGGGTCCGAATTGTTTGACCTACAAACTATTCTGACCACTCTATGGAAAGGGGACCCCCACAAGTGTCAGGGGACTCATCTGAAGTCGGTACAGTTGATGTGACAACTTCTGTTTGTAGCGTCCGAACCATTTGGTCTGCAAACTAATGTGACCCCACTGTGGAAAGAGGAGATTCTCACGAAAATGATAGTGTTCTCCGTTTTGTTCTATGACCCCCCACACGTGTCACGGGACTTGTCTGAAGGTATCCGGTACTGTTTTTAAAAAAATGTATGGAAGTATGAAGGTAGTTTTGTGCCAACCCAAAAAAGGGGTTAAATATGTGTACAAAAATTATAATATATATAAATATGTATTACCTGAGCTTTCTTATATCTCCTAGATACAGGACAGACACTTCAAAACCTTGTTTCTTATGATTTATTTTTTGACTGTCTTTTTTTGCCATTTATTAATGTGTTATTCAATGCGTTTCTATGGGCTATAGTAGCAAAGGCCAAATTCAATATTTTATCAAACCATTTTTGTATGTTTTTTGTAATACCTCAAGGGGTCCTAAAATTCAAAATCAAATAGCTAAGTGATCCATAGTATGACCATCTTAAAACAATTCCATATGTCAGCTTAGAACCTTTTAAGAATGATCCCCTCATCCAGGCAGATCTAGGGCGCCCCCTACATGGCTGGAAGAAGCCAGGCACAAGTGGGGGAGCTGAACAGGAAGGCGTTCTCAGGACCACACTAAAGGAACTACACAGTGACAAGAACAGACTGATGCAAACAGAGAAGGCAGAGGAAGAGGAAGATGAGGAGGAAGAAGATGAAGATGATTCTGAAGAGGAGGAAGAGGAGGAGGTACGTCCCTCCCCCCTTATATGAACTCAGGATCCTTTCATCAGGCTAAGGATAATGATGATGATGACAATTATGATGATTAGGATGATTAGGATTATGATGATGATGATAATTTGTATTTGTATTACTAGGAGGAAGAGGAAGAGGAGGAAGAAGAAGAGGGGACAGAGTCTCCCACCAATCAGACAGTAGCAAGGACCAGCTTCACAGAGTCTCTCCCAGGGACGTGTCAAACGTCTAACGGACAAATCAGCTGCAGGGGGGTTGGCATGAATCACCTCCCAATCATTACTGACCTGGGGATCACGACCCTGGACCTGGCAGGTGAGGGGGTGGGCGGGAGTAATATGAAATGTGTGTTGTGAAAGGTAATATGCACTGTATAAAATAATGTATTGTGTATCTATGACATTAGTGAGTGTGTATATCAGTGTGTATATTAGTGTTAATATTAGTGTGTATATTAGTGAGTATATTAGTGAGTATATCAGTGTGTATATTAGTGTGTATATTAGTGTGTATATTAGTGAGTATATTAGTGTGTATATTAGAGTGTATATTAGTGTGTATATTAGTGTGTATATTAGTGTGTATATTAGTGTATATATTAGTGAGTATATTAGTGTTTATATTAGTGTGTATATTAGTGTGTATATTAGTGAGTATATTAGTGTGTATATTAGTGTGTATATTAGTGTATATATTAGTGAGTATATTAGTGTTTATATTAGTGTATATATTAGTGTGTATATTAGTGTATATATTAGTGAGTATATTAGTGTTTATATTAGTGTATATATTAGTGAGTATATTAGTTTGTATATTAGTGTGTATATTAGTGTGTATATTAGTGAGTATATGAGTGAGTATATGAGTGTGTATATTAGTGTGTATATTAGTGTGTATATTAGTGAGTATATTAGTGTGTATATTAGTGAGTATATTAGTGAGTATATTAGTGAGTATATTAGTGAGTATATTAGTGTGTATATTAGTGTGTATATTAGTGAGTATATTAGTGAGTATATTAGTGTATATGTCAGTGTGATTGTACCTCTATATGTGTGTCTGACAGAGAACAGTATCAGTCTTATTTCCTCGCGGGGTTTCTCTGGTCTTCCCAACCTGGAGAGTATAGACCTGAGCAAAAACCGACTGGATGATGACTCACTCAGCCACCACCTCTTCTCTGTAAGTTTCACCAGCTTTACACCCCTACCCTGCTGTATGAAAGACCTGCTGGAGAGTAAGGGTTGGGGGCTCGAGATCTCTAGATAAGTAACTAGATTATTATTACATTACAAGACCAGGGCAGTCCTGCATGAGTCAGCATATTCCTATAATGGTAGCTGGTAACTGGCTGACAGTAACTGAGTCAGTATATTCCTATAATGGTAGCTGGTAACTGGCTGACAGTAACTGAGTCAGTATATTCCTATAATGGTAGCTGGTAACTGGCTGACAGTAACTGAGTCAGTATATTCCTATAATGGTAGCTGGTAACTGGCTGACAGTAACTGAGTCAGTATATTCCTATAATGGTAGCTGGTAACTGGCTGACAGTAACTGAGTCAGCATATTCCTATAATGGTAGCTGGTAATTGGCTGACAGACCTCAGATCCTGATCAAGGGGCTGGACTACAGCAGGAGCACAGACTCTGGTGCACTGGCTTCCTCTTAAGAGATCGGCTAAGTGTGTGTGTGTGTGTGTGTGTGTGTGTGTGTGTGTGTGTGTGTGTGTGTGTGTGTGTGTGCGCGCACATGTTCAAGTGAAATATACAGTACATGACTACAGCCAATGGGCTTGAGATGAAAAGAGGAGATTATTTTAAGAAGAAATGATTTTATGATATCCGTTCATCCAGTAATGACAGAGGCGGGAGGAACAGGGCAGAGTTACTGGGAGAGTGACACAGCTCAATGGTTTCACTGGGTACAGATCAACCAGACCACACCAATACAGGCTCTAAATAAAGACCAGGGTCAAGCTAGATTTACAGAAAAGGACCGTTTTAACGGTCATCTAAACCGATGCAGGTTTTTCTTAAATGTATCTCCTCTCTACTTCCTGGTAGAATCTGACCCGGCTGAGGAGGCTTAACCTAGATGATAACCAGCTGACACGGATCCCACTGCTGCCACCATCACTGGAGGAGCTCAAGATGAATGACAACAAGATCACCAGACTCACACCTCACAGCTTCAAAGGTGTGTGTTTATATTTGTGGAAATTGTGTTTGAGAGGGAGGTTGAAGGTTGATTTAATCACCTGTATGTAACGCACACACTTCTTTGTGACACTCATATGTATCAGTATGTGTGTGTGTGTGTGTTTTTATATGTGTGTGTGTGTGTGTGTGTGTGTGTGTTTGAGTGGCCTGAGTGGCGCAGTGGTCTAAGGCACTGCATCGCAGTGCTAACTGTGCCACTAGAGATCCTGGTTCGAATCCAGGCTCTGTCGCAGCCGGCCGCGACCGGGAGACTCATGGGCGGCGCACAATTGGCCCAGCGTCGTCCAGGGTAGGGGAGGGAATGGCCGGCAGGGATGTAGCTCAGTTGATAGAGCATGGCGTTTGCAACGCCAGGGTTGTGGGTTCGATTCCCACGGGGGGCCAGTATAAAAAAAAAAAAAAGATATGTATTCACTAACTGCAAGTCGCTCTGGATAAGAGCGTCTGCTAAATGACTAAAATGTAAAAATGTAATGTATGCGTGAATGCGTTTATATGTATGTGTGTGTGTGTTTGTGTGTGTGTTTATGTGTATGCGTGTGTGTGTTTATGTGTATGCGTGTATGTGTGTGTGTGTGTGTGTGTGTTTATGTGTATGTGTGTGTGTGTCCCAGGTCTGTTCCATCTGTTGTCTTTGGAGCTGGAGGAGAACCTCTTCCATGACGGCAACATGTCCCCTTTGACCTTCAAGCCGCTGAGGAGGGTCCAGTACCTGCGATTGGACTCAAACAGGTTCCGCTCCCTCCCCCTCGGCCTGCCCCGCTCCCTACAGGTCAGAGTCTCCTCATCACCATCCAGAACATTCTTATAATACATTCTTGTGTGTTTCTATATTATGTGCGTCTAAACATCTGTGTGTGTGTGTGTGTGTGTGTGCGTGTGTGTGTGAGTGTGTGTGTGTGTGTGTGTGTGTGTGTGTGGTGTGTAGGAGCTGAGGATGCGTGATAACCAGTTACAGGAGGTACCAGAAGGGGTTCTGAGTGAATTGGCCAAACTGAGAGTACTGGACCTTAGTCACAACCTGCTGCATGAGGGCGACATCTCAAACCGGGCCTGGGTCAAACTAACGTGAGTTCAATGAATAAATGAATCAATAAATCAATCCACCCACCCATCCAAAAAGGAATTAACGCAGGTTCATATGACACAAAATGCATCATACCGGCTGTATTTCTGTATTTTGAAAGTTATATATCTTGATAACTTGATTGCTGACATACAAAACATTTTGGGACTGTATCAACAATGGATTAAAGAAACATTTACAATTTGTTACAGAATGTTTTGTAGTACCTATGTCACCCACAGGAGGGAGAACTGTGCTTGCGAATCAGCACCTCAGATTTTCCTGACTCATTCTATTTTATGTAAAATCATTAATGTTCTGCTAGTGCTGATGTACACACACGGGTTTGTGTGTGTGTGTATGTGCGTGTATGTGTGTGAATTCCTGCTGCTTAGTCAGATAAGCATCTCTACAGAACACAGGGTTCAAACCTGTCATTATCACCTTGACAGCTACACACGCACACATGCATGTCAAATCAAATCAAATCACATTTTATTTGCCACAGGCGCCGAATACAACAGGTGTAGACCTTACTTACAAGCCCTTAACCAACAACGCAGTTTTAAGAAAAATAAGTGTTAAGTAAAAAATAGATAAGTAAAAAATTAAAATAAAAGATAATTAAAGAGCAGCAGTGAAATAAAATAACAGTAGGGAGGCTATATACAAGGGGTACCACTACAGAGTCAATGTGCAGGGGCACAGGTTGGTCGAGGTAATTGAGGTAATATGTACATTACATAGATAATAAACAGAGAGTAGCAGCAGCGTAAAAGAGGGGGTGGGGTGGGGTGACAATGCAAATAGTCCAAATAGTGATTAGCTGTTCATGAGTCTTATGGCTTGGGGGTAGAAGCTGTTAAGAAGCCTTTTGGACCTAGACTTGGCGCTCCGGTACTGCTTGCCGTGTGGTACCAGAGAGAACAGTCTATGACTAGGGTGGCTGGAGTCGCATAAATTTTTTAGGGCCTTCCTCTGACACCGCCTGGTATAGAGGTCCTGGATGGCAGGAAGCTTGGCCCCAGTGATGTACTGGGCCGTACGCACTACCCTCTGTAGTGCTTTGCGGTCAGAGGCCGAGCAGTTGCAATACCAGGCAGTAATGCAACTAGTCAGGATGCTTTCGAAGGTGCAGATGTATAACTTTTTGAGGATCTGAGGACCCATGCCAAATCTTTTCAGTCTCCTGAGGGGGAATAGGCTTTGTCGTGCCCTCTTCACGACTGCCTTGGTGTGTTTGGACCATGATAGTTTGTTGGTGATGTGGACACTAAGGAACTTGAAGCTCCCATGTTGAGGATCAGCGTGGCAGATGTGTTGTTACCTACCATTACCCACTGGGGGCGGCCTGTCAGGAAGTCCAGGATCCAGTTGCAGAGGGAGGTGTTTAGTCCTAGGGTCCTTAGCTTAGTGATGAGTTTTGAGGGCACTATGGTGTTGAACGCTGAGCTGTAGTGAATTAATAGCATTCTCACGTAGGTGTTCCTCTTGTCCAGGTGGGAAAGGGCAGTGTGGAGTGCAATAGAGATTGCATCATCTATGGATCTGTTGGGGCGGTATGCAAATTAAGTGGGTCTAGGGTTTCTGGGATAATGGTGTTGATGTGAGCCATGACCAGCCTTTCAAAGCACTTCATGGCTACAGAGTGCTACGGGTCGGTAGTCATTTAGGCAGGTTATCTTAGTGTTCTTGGGCACAGGGACTATGGTGGTCTGCTTGAAACATGTTGGTATTACAGACTCAGTCAGGGACATGTTGAAAATGTCAGTGAAGACACTTTCCAGTTGGTCAGCGCATGCTCGGAGTACGTGTCCTGGTAATCCGTCTGGCCCTGCGGTCTTGTGAACGTTGACCTGCTTAAAGGTCTTACTCACATCGGCTACGGAGAGCGTGATCACATTGTCATCCAGAACAGTGGATGCTCTCATACATACAGTGGGGAATAAAAGTATTTAGTCAGCCACCAATTGTGCAAGTTCTCCCACTTAAAAAGATGAGAGAGGCCTGTAATTTTCATCATAGGTATACGTCAACTATGACAGACAAATTGAGAATTTTTTTTCTAGAAAATCACATTGTAGGATTTTTAATGAATTTATTTGCAAATTATGGTGGAAAATAAGTATTTGGTCAATAACAAAAGTTTCTCAATACTTTGTTATATACCCTTTGTTGGCAATGACACAGGTCAAACGTTTTCTGTAAGTCTTCACAAGGTTTTCACACACTGTTGCTGGTAGTTTGGCCCATTCCTCCATGCAGATCTCCTCTAGAGCAGTGATATTTTGGGGCTGTCGCTGGGCAACACAGACTTTCAACTCCCTCCAAAGATTTTCTATGGGGTTGAAATCTGGAGACTGGCTAGGCCACTCCAGGACCTTGAAATGCTTCTTACGAAGCCACTCCTTCGTTGCCCGGGCGGTGTGTTTGGGATCATTGTCATGCTGAAAGACCCAGCCACGTTTCATCTTCAATGCCCTTGCTGATGGAAGGAGGTTTTCACTCAAAATCTCACGATACATGGCCCCATTCATTCTTTCCTTTACACGGATCAGTCGTCCTGGTCCCTTTGCAGAAAAACAGCCCCAAAGCATGATGTTTCCACCCCCATGCTTCACAGTAGGTATGGTGTTCTTTGGATGCAACTCAGCATTCTTTGTCCTCCAAACACGACGAGTTGAGTTTTTACCAAAAAGTTCTATTTTGGTTTCATCTGACCATATGACATTCTCCCAATCCTCTTCTGGATCATCCAAATGCACTCTAGCAAACTTCAGACGGGCCTGGACATGTACTGGCTTAAGCAGGGGGACACGTCTGGCACTGCAGGATTTGAGTCCCTGGCGGCGTAGTGTGTTACTGATGGTAGGCTTTGTTACTTTGGTCCCAGCTCTCTGCAGGTCATTCACTAGGTCCCCCCGTGTGGTTCTGGGATTTTTGCTCACCGTTCTTGTGATCATTTTGACCCCACGGGGTGAGATCTTGTGTGGAGCCCCAGATCGAGGGAGATTATCAGTGGTCTAGAATGTCTTCCATTTCCTAATAATTGCTCCCACAGTTGATTTCTTCAAACCAAGCTGCTTACCTATTGCAGATTCAGTCTTCCCAGCCTGGTGCAGGTCTACAGTTTTGTTTCTGGTGTCCTTTGACAGCTCTTTGGTCTTGGCCATAGTGGAGTTTGGAGTGTGACTGTTTGAGGTTGTGGACAGGTGTCTTTTATACTGATAACGAGTTCAAACAGGTGCCATTAATACAGGTAACGAGTGGAGGACAGAGGAGCCTCTTAAAGAAGAAGTTACAGGTCTGTGAGAGCCAGAAATCTTGCTTGTTTGTAGGTGACCAAATACTTATTTTCCACCATAATTTGCAAATAAAGTCATAAAAAATCCTACAATGTGATTTTCTGGATATTTTTTCTCAATTTGTCTGTCATAGTTGACGTGTACCTATGATGAAAATTACAGGCCTCTCTCATCTTTTTAAGTGGGAGAACTTGCACAATTAGTGGCTGACTAAATACTTTTTTTCCCCACTGTACTTCAGTGTTACTTGCCTCAAAGCAAGCATAGAAGTGATTTAGCTCATCTGGCAGGCTCGTGTCACTGGGCAGCTCGCGGCTGTGCTTCCCTTTTTTAGTCAGTAATAGTTTGCAAGCCCTGCCACATCCAACGAGCGTCGGAGCCGGTGTAGTACAATTCAATCTTAGTCCTATATTGACTCTTTGCCTGTTTGATGGTTCGTCGGAGGACATAGAGGGATTTCTTATAAGCGTCCGGGTTAGAGTCCTGCTCCGTGAACGCGGCAGCTCGACCCTTTAGCTCAGTGCGGATGTTGCCTGTAATCCATGGCTTCTGGTTGGGGTATGTACGTACGGTCACTGTGGGGACGACGTCATCGATGCACTTATTGATGAAGCCAGTGACTGATGTGGTGTACTCCTCAATGCCATCGGAAGAATCTCGGAACATATTCCAGCCTGTGCTAGCAAAACAGTCCTGCAGCTTAGCATCTGTGTCATCTGACCACTTCCTTATTAACCGAGTCACTGGTGCTTCCTGCTTTAGTTTTTGCTTATAAGCAGGAATCAGGAGGATAGAGTCATGGTCAGATTTGCCAAATGGAGGGCGAGGGAAAGCTTTGTACGCATCTCTGTGTGTGGAGTAAAGGTGGTCTAGAGTTCTTTTCCTCAGGTTGCACATTTAACATTAGGTAAAACGGATGTAAGTTTCCCTGCATTAAGGTCCCTGGCCACTAGGAGCGCTGCCTCTGGATGAGCGTTTTCCTGTTTGCTTATGGCCTTATACAGCTCAATGAGTGCAGTCTTACTGCTAGTATCGGTTTGTGGTGGTAAATAGACAGCTACGAAAAATATAGATGAAAACTCTCTTGGTAAATAGTGTGGTCTACAGCTTATCATGAGATACTCTACCTCAGGTGAGCAAAACCTTGAGACTTCCTTAGTATTAGATTTCGTGCACCAGCTGTTGTTTACAAATATACACAGACTGCCACCCCTTGTCTTACCGGAGTCAGCTGTTCTATTCTGCCGATGTAGCGTATATGCCACCAGCTGTATGTTATCCATGTCGTTGTTCAGCCACGACTCGGTGAAACATAAGATATTACAGTCTTTAATGTCCCGTTGGTAGGATATCCGTGATCGTAGGTCGTCTATTTTGTTTTCCAATGACTGTACGTTGGCTAATAGGACTGATGGTAGAGGCAGATTACTTGCTCGCCGTCGGATCCTTACAAGGCACCCCGACCTACGTCCACGATATCTTCGTCTCTTTCTCATGTCTGTAGAATATCCTTTGCGTCTGACTCGTTGAAGAAAGAATCTTCGTCCAATACGAGCTGAGTAATCGCTGTCCTGATATCCAGAAGCTCTTTTTGGTCATAAGAGACAGTGGCAGAAACATTATGTACAGAATAAATTACAAATAACGTTAAAAAACACACATAATAGCACAATTGGTTAGGGGGCCGTAAAACGTCAGCCATCTCCTCTGGCGCCATTATAGAATCTGATAGACTGTGACAGCTGACCCTGTGTATTCATGAGAACAAATGTGTGATGGGAAGGAGGAAGGAAAGGGTATATTGTAAGTGTGTGTGTGTGTGTGTGTGTGAGTGTGTCCTTTGTAAACATAGTGAATTCCAGTGGGTTTATCCCCTGCTCCGTGGGATCCTTGCGAACCACAGCAAGAGCTTCGGGAGAAAATACACATTGTCTGAGAGAGAGGAGAGAGAGAGAAAGAGAGGGGGGAGAAAGAAAGGGTGTGTAAGAGTCGTGTTGAGGAAAATAAGTTAGAAAGAGAAAAGAGAGCATGGATGAGAACAGAGCAGAAGGGAGGAGGAAGAAGAGAGGCGGAGAGAAACTGTGTGTGTATAATGTTGCCAAAGTGCCCGTAATGTAAAACAGATAAACTTATCAGGTACTTCCTGGATACATATTGACCGTGTTTAGCGTCAGGGCCAAGGGGTTAATTTCAGGGGTTATTTGGGTAGGGCACCTAGGTAGGGGTTGTGGTCCTCTGTAGCTCAGCTGGTAGAGCACGGCGCTTGTAACGCCAAGGTAGTGGGTTCGATCCCCGGGACCACCCATACACAAAAAAATGTATGCACGCATGACTGTAAGTCGCTTTGGATAAAAGCGTCTGCTAAATGGCATATTATTATTATTATTATAGGGGTTACTAGGGGTCAGAGGTTAAATACATGGTTAGAGTGCTGGCCATCTGACAGGTTTATGAAGGTAAAGGAAGGCCAAACTAATACAACTCTCATTAGTGTGGCAAGCAGGGCTCTGTTGAGAGAGGGAGACAGTTGTGTGTCTGATGATAGTTAGTGTACTATATCCTAAGATAGATGAATGTTCTCACACCTTGTAATGTAGTCCATACTGACAGTATGCTTGGAGACGGATTTTCACACTTTGCTCCACAACGTTTTCATTGTGTGGAGTCAGTATTTCACCCAAGTCTGGGGGTCAGAGGTGAGGGGTGTGTGTGTGAGTTTGTGCCAGGGTTGGGGTCAATTCCATTTCAATTCCAGCCAATTCAGAAAGTAAACCAAATTCCAATTCCAAATGTTTCTCATTGAATAGCATTGAAAATAATTGGAATTGGAATTTCAGTGTACTTCCTGAATTGAATTTAAATGAAATTGACCCCAACCCTGGTTTGTTCCTGAGACTGCCTGGGCTTCAGGCCGTTCTGTGCCTGCCAGTCCCCTGCGGGGCTCAGTCTCCCACATCAACTTGACTGAGCTTTGTGAGGGTCAGGGGATGTGTTTATGTGTGTATGTGCATGCGCATTCTTGTGTGCCATTGTGTGTGCGTGTGTGTGCATATGTGGGTGTGTGTTTGCCTGAGTGAGTGTATGTGTGTGTGTTAAATATTACTTTTCTTGGCAATCTTTTTTTAATTTCCCCTCCTGAGCTTAGAGGATAAAGAAGAGCATTTCTGTATTAAAGCTTCTCTTTCATTCACCACAGTTCTTTCACCTCTGTCTGGGTCTCAGTCTGGCTTTTGTTTCACGCTTCCTCTCTCTCTTTCTCTCTCTCTCTCTCTTCCTTTCTATCTGTCTCTGTCTCTGTCTCGCTGTCTTCCTTCCTTCCTTTCTCTCTCTCTCTCTCTCTCTCCTCTCTCTCTCTCTCTCTCTCTCTCTCTCCTCTCTCTCTCTCCTCTCTCTCTCTCTGTTTGCCTCTCTTTCTCTCTCTATCGCACTCTCTCTCTCCCTCTGTTTCTCTTGCTCTGTCTCTGCCTCTCTGTAAAAGAGAAACAACTGCCATCACCTCCATTATGACTACCATCAACTACCATTATTTATTTGTGTTTTCTGCGTGTGTATGTGACATACAGCTCCTAAGTTTGCCTGTGTGCATGTGTTGGTATGTGTGTATGTACAGTAGGTGTGTTATGTAACCAGGCCTCAGTAGTAGCTACTATTATCCAGGCATAAATCCTGGTGCAGTGAAAGCTGTGAAATTAGCTGTACCTCCTCTAAGGCACAACTCCCTCGACTCACTTTCATCTTTATGCACGTGCACGCACACACACACACACACACACACACACACACACACACACTGACATTAATTTTTGTCTCTCCCACACACACTGACTTTAATATTTGTCTCTCCTTTGGAACCTGTCAGTCTAAATCACCAATAATCTAAATAACTCTGCAATGTCTAATGTTTATCGTTTTATGATGTACTGTTTTATCTTTTGTTTTATATGTAATGTAAGTGCCTTAATGTGTTTGGACTCCAGGAAGATTAGCAGCTGCCTTGGCAGCAGCTAATGGGAATCCCTAATAAATACAAATAAATACAAATCTCTGTCATATCCTCACCACCTACCCCCTTAAATATCTCCATCAACTACAGCTCTCACCACTTAAGAGTACCCTGTCTACTGTACATCATCATGTGTACAACTACTCTCCCTTACTGTAAATCTATATTTGAAATCTCTCATACTTCTCCAGATCACAGAGATCAACGTGCCCTTGACAGTAACATAAGCAATGTGTTTCAGTTTGTGTCAAAGAGAGAGAGAGTACTTTTCAATTTGTCCATCGTATTGTTCCATTTGTTTCTCATTATGTGTGTGTGTGCGTGAGAGTGTGTGTATGTGTGTGTGTGCGTGCGTGTGTGCGTGAGATTGAGTGAGTGAGTGTGAGAGAGAGAGAGAGAGAGAGAGAGAGGAGAGGATAGAGGGAGGGTAGAGGTGGAGATAGTGAGTGAGAGAGTTTGTAGAGTAGAGAGTTAAGCTATGGCTAGTGATTTAGTTCGTTCTTGCGTCGTTATCGCTCTCAGCGCGCTTCTCGCGAGCGCGGTCTCCGGTTCTCTCGCGGTTGCGCTCTTCTCTCCTCTCGCCCTCCTCGCGCCTGGCGCTCTCGCGCGCGGCCCGCGCCGCTCGCTCTCTGGGCTGCTCCTCTCCCACTCTCTCTCTGAGCTCTCTCTCTCTCGAGTCGTTTCTCGCGTCATCCCCTCCCGATCCTGCGTTTCTTTTCTCTGTTTTCTTTTCGTGCTTCGTTGCTTCGTCGCTCCTGCGTTCTTCTCTCCTCTCTCTCTCTCTCTCTTCTCCTCGCGCCTCTCGCTCTCTGCAAGACTGACCGGGTGGTTAGGGTGTGTGCGTTAGTGTTTCTGTTGGAAGGGGTGACGTTGCTGAGGCTATAAAAGCTCTTAGCAGTTATCATAGCCGCAGGCTGAGCCAGGTTGGATGAAGAGTCTGGTTCCAATAATAAGAGCACTGATCAGAGGAATACATCCACTCTGTGTGTGTTTTATGTACTGGACACCTACTAAAGGTGGGCCATGGTTGTCCCCTAAGGCTTGCTGTCTTCGCAGAACACAACCCATTCTGTGAGAGTGTGTGTTCTGGGTAGTGTGTTTTACATTATGTACAGTTCACGAGTGTGTTCATGTTTGTTGGTGTGATCGTGTGTTTATGTAAGTCATTCTGAAACTTAATCTCTGTCACTATCGCATCAAATAACTAATATCAAGTTTTACGATGACACCAAATTTGCTTGGATGTTTTTGATTAGTAATGGCAACCTGGTTACAGCGTTTAATTGAATAGGCATGAGGTAATACCTGGCATCATGATGATGCTTCCTGTTATTCATGAGATCCGTCTTATCACAGTTAGTGGCTAGATACTGTGGTTATCCTGGCTATCCTGGTTAGTGTGGCTATCCTGGCTATCCTGGTTAGTGTGGCTATCCTGGCTAGCCAGGTTAGTGTGGTTATCCTGACTATCCTGGCTAACCTGGTTAGTGTGGTTAGTGTCGGTAGTGTGGTTATCCTGGCTATCCTGGTTAGTGTGGCTATCCTGGCTAGCCAGGTTAGTGTGGTTATCCTGACTATCCTGGCTAACCTGGTTAGTGTGGTTAGTGTCGGTAGTGTGGTTATCCTGGCTATCCTGGTTAGTGTGGCTATCCTGGCTAGCCAGGTTAGTGTGGTTATCCTGACTATCCTGGCTAACCTGGTTAGTGTGGTTAGTGTCGGTAGTGTGGTTATCCTGGCTAGCCTGGTTAGTGTAGTTAGTGTTGTTACCCTGGCTATCCTTGGTTGGTGTGGCTGTCCTGGCTAGCCTGGTTAGCCTGGTTAGTGTGTTTAGTGAAGCTACTGTGGTTATCCAAGCTATCCTGGTTAGTGTGGTTATCCTGGTTAGTGTGGTTAGTGTGGTTATCCTGGCTCGCCTGGTTAGTGTCATTACCCTGGCTAGCCTGGCTAGTGTGGTTAATCCTGGCTAGTCTGGTTAGTGTGGTTAGTCTGGCTAGTCCGGTTAATGTGGTTAATCCTGGCTAGCCTGGTTAGTGTGCTTAGTCTGGCTAGCCTGGTTAGTGTGGTTAATCCTGGCTAGTCTGGTTAGTGTGGTTAGTCTGGCTAGCCTGGTTAGTGTGGTTAATCCTGGCTAGTCTGGTTAGTGTGGTTAATCCTGGCTAGTCTGGTTAGTGTGGTTATTCTGGCTAGCAAGCAGCTTGCATAAGCCTGGTTGTATAACACTGGCATGGTACGTCTCAGCCCCAGGCAAATTAAACAGAGGAGACAGGGCGTGTATGTGTTTGTGTGTTTGTGTGTGTGTGTGTGTGTTTGTGTGTTTTGTGTGGCAGATACCAGCTCCCTCTCCTGGTTCTCATTAGAGCTCAGCTCCCTGAGGAGGAACGGACCATCAGATTGATTACTCTTGGCCGTGTCACAGCACGCACGCACACACACTACACACACTACACACACACACACACACACACACACACACACACACACACACACACACACACACACACACACACACACACACACACACACACACACACGCGCGCGCGCGCGCACACACACACACACACACACACACACACACACACACACACACACACACACACACACACACACACACACAGCCCTGGCCAGGTCCACTTGATAGTCAGTAAACATCCCTGGCTTGAAGTCAATGGGAAGATGGAAAGAACACTTATCGAAAACAATCAACAAAGACAGTATTGATTCAATAATAATCTCTCCTACTCCCTCCAACCTGTTTAGCATAATCAGAAGACAATGAAATTGATAAGATGATTCCAATGGAGCATTTCCATACAGGATTTACTCCAGTGTTTTACCCAAAAGGCTTCCATCTACGCGGGCCATCTACGCTGGCCGGTACCCGTATCTCTCTGGGCCATGGCTCCGGCGGACCTCCTCTGACTTGGGGCCAAAGCCAGGCCACTGGTACTTTTCAGCTGGCATTTACAGTACATATCTGTGAACTTTAACGCCTTCTCACAAATCAACTGTTTTTGATTCTGCAGAGGCTGTTGATTCTGCTCTTTACTGTCAGCCCTAGATATGGAAACACAATGTCTCTAGAATAACATCAGGGTGTATACACTAGTGGAACATTGGTGTTACAGTCAAAAAGCGTGTGGGACAGGGTGTTCCTCCTCTCCTCTCCTCTCCTCTCCTCTCCTCTCCTCTCCTCTCCTCTCCTCTCCTCTCCTCTCCTCTCCTCTCCTCTCCTCTCCTCTCCTCTCCTCTCCTCTCCTCTCCTCTCCTCTCCTCTCCTCTCCTCTCCTCTCATCTCCTCTCCTCTCCTCTCCTCTCATTAATAGCATATGGAGATAGGCAGCTGCAGTCTGGCTGGCTATATTTCAGTACAGTTTAGTAAGCCGTCATAAACTCACTCTATCCTAGAGCTCCATTCAATCAATCCTGGTCACAGAGTTTTTAGTGTACATAAAAAAACATGATTCTACAAATAATGTTCTTTAGTTTTTGGACAATACAGTCTATATCTACAACTTGTTTTTTAACGCATAGTGTGTGTATGTAATAAGTGTGTGTACTGTGTGTGTGTTTGCATATCTGCGAATGTGTTAGTGTGTTTTTGGTTAAATCTGTCATTGTGTTGAGTCCCCTGTGGTCAGTAAAAACCTTTATGGCTGTATTAATATGGGATTTTACGACATCCCTGTTGACTTAATACCCCTAATACTCAGCAAAGAATTCCTGAAATGATTTTTGGACCTTGCTGAGGCTCTGCTATACGAACAACAGCTCGAACAAGAGAACACACTTTTGTTAATATAAACAGTATTTTAATTAACATCATAATCAAATCCCAGATTTCCCTGCACAACAACAACTAGGGTTTATTTAAACAAAGAACAGATGTATGTGGAGAAACATGAACGTTTTGTGGCTTAATGTCCCAAAGAGTACAAAGAAGATGGTAATAATCAGCAGGAGGGTTGAAGTACTGTATATGTGTTGACATTATAACGTGAGTCACACAGACGCCTCTCTTATCAACCTCACCAGGGGCCCCTGCTCCTCTCTCTTCTCATTGGCTATACACACTACTCTGCTTTGAGCCTGTTGGTTGTTCAGCCTCCAGTGTGTTGTGCTCATTGGCTGTTCACCCTGCTGTGCGTTAATGGCAGTAAGGTAACAGGAAATTAGATAGCTGTTCTGCTGTGAGCTGCCCTGTAAACTCACGCCAGCTGCCCTGTGTTCTCTTACCCCCTACCACCCTCTACCCCCTGTCTTCCTGTGTTATATTATCCCATTACTACCCCCCAAACCCAGCATCCCTCTCCTCACCCCCTGGCTTCCCACAATCCTCTATAATGGTCTATGTTCTGTTACTCCACCTTGCCATATAGCCCTAACCACCCCATTTCCACGCCCAATAGACCCTCACTACCCCCCACATGGCTCCACGTGTTAATGATGGAGCAAGAGGCCCTCTCCTGTCCAATCACTGGATAGAGTGCACCCTTCCACTCTTAGCGTGCATATGTTTCTATAGAGAACACCACCTCTCCTCAATCTAACAGCCAAACACTGGAGACTCCCAAGTCTACTGCTTCTCAGTTAACTCCACATTCAGCATTATATCTGACCCCAGAGCTCTGTAAAACAAAGTTAGAGCAGCCATTAGGAGGAGATGATTGTGGACTACAGGAAAAGGAGGACATAGCATTCTCATTGACGGGGCTGTAGTGGAGCAGGTTGAGAGCTTCAAGTTCCTTGGTGTCCACATCACCAATCATGGTCCAAACACACAGTCGTGTGCCTATTCCCCTTCAGGAGACTGAAAATATTTGGCATGGGTCCTCAGATCCTCAAAAAGTTCTACAGCTGCACCATCGAGAGCATCCTGACTGGTTGCATCACTGCCTGGTATGGCAAATGCTCGGCCTCTGACCGCAAGGCACTACAGAGGGTAGTGCATATGACCCAGTACATCACTGGGGCCAAGCTTCCTACCATCCAGGACCTCTATGCCAGGCGGTGTCAAAGGAAGGCCCTAAAAATTGTCAAAGACTCCAGCCACCCTAGTCATAGACTGTTCTCTCTGCTACCGCACGGCAAGAGGTACCGGAGCGCCAAGTCTAGGTCCAAAAGGCTTCTTAACAGCTTCTACCCCCAAGCCATAAGACTCCTGAACAGCTAATCAATTGGCTACCTGGACTATTTGCAACCACTCTCTGTTTATTATTTATGCATAGTCACTTTAACTCTACCTACATGTGCATATTACCTCAATTACCTCGATTAACCTGTGCCCCGCACATTGACTCTGTACCGGTACCCCATGTATATAACCTCCCTACTGTTATTTTATTTTACTGCTGCTCTTTAATTATTTGTTATTATTATTATTATTATTATACAATTCTTTTTTCTCTCTCTCTCTCTCTCTTAGTTCTCTGGAAGCCTTGGACCTCTCTCATAACCGCCTCACCTCAGTCCCCCTCTACCTACCCCGCCCTCTACGTCAGCTGACCCTGCAACACAACTCGATTGGTCGAATCCCTGCGTATGTCTTTGGCCACCTGCGCCCCGGCCTAGAGTCCCTCCGTCTATCCCACAATGCACTAGGGGACGAAGGAGTGCAAGGAGTTTCTTTTGTGGGCATGTACCGATCGCTTGTTGAGCTCCTATTGGACAATAACCGTCTGGGGGCGGTGCCTCGCAGCATGTGGCAGTTTAGGAACCTGCAGGTGCTGAGGCTCGACTACAACCAAATCAGGTGTGACTGCATTGCTACCAACCTTCTCTACCTCTGCAGTGTTACCACGGTATTACCACAAACTCAACAAGGGTAAATGCGGCCTATCAAATTGAACAACGACTCATCCACCACCTATAAAATGTAAAATCAGGTTTGACTACATTAAGACCATGACGGCTTTAGCTATTACCACAACTCATCAAAGATTGAAGCGACCAAAGCGTCAGGATCAGTTTCAGTTGAGTTCACCTGGCACTGCCCTCTCCATGAGGCTATGTAAGAACCAATCACAGAGCCTATACGTAAGAACCAATCACAGAGCCCAGTAAGGGTGAGTGAACTCACATCGCCATCCTGTTAGAGCACAGAACTAATCTCAGGCTAATTATCCAATCAAAGTGATTGTTTTGGCAGGGCGCCCAGAGAGGCCATCAGACAGGGACAGACACATATTCACAAGAGAACCAATCACAGAGCCTATACGTAAGAACCAATCACAGAGCTCAGTATGGGTACATTAAATAACGTTATTACACTATGTGTGTGTGTTGCTTGCAGGTCTGTGGCGGTGGGGTCGGTGTGTCACTCTGGTGTGGCAGTGCGTTCGGCCCTGGCCTCTCTCCACCTGGAGAACAACCTTATAGGGGAAGAGATCCCCTCCACTACCTTGGACTGTATTCAAGACCCTAGCAGTGTGGTCACACAGCCCCAGGAACACATACACGCGGTGTAAGCCAGCTTCCCCATCACACACACGCGGTGTAAGCCAGCTTCCCCATCACAGACACGTGGTGTAAGCCAGCTTCCCCATCACAGACACGCGGTGTAAGCCAGCTTCCCCATTTATAGATATTCCACTATCCACTTTGTTTGTCCCCTCTCATGCTCACTGATAACCATTATTAAACCTCCCGACTTCTCCACTTCCCTTTCTTAACTAACCACCTATGGTGTCTATTCATGTATGGAAACTCGTGTTTGTGATGTCTCAGCCAATGATGATGATGATGATGATGGTGGTGGTGATGGTGATAAACTAATTTGTATCAGTACAGTTGTGTTACCTTACTCTAACAGAAATGAAAATACTGATGTCTGTGGATGAAAATGCTTTAGTGGTTGTAAGAGAATATTGAACAACATTACAAGTCTAAAACTATTCCAACCTGTATATTTAGGGGTCTGGGGGAACTTAGTCTTGGGGCAGGCTAGACTTATACCAGGGTTAACAGGGTAACAGTGTCAGTGGGAGATCTGAGGGAACATTGGGAAAGAATATAAACATCATACATGTTCTCCACCCCCATTCATCTCCAGCAGCACCTGACCCGTCCTGTCGTGTGAAAACACAGAGGGTCAGGTCAGCCTGGGTGCCAGGGTTAGGGTTGGGGAGGGAGCCTTTCTCTGTGTGTCTGAGCTGACAGGGATGGCATCATAGACTGCGGCACCAGGTGGAAGGGAGTGTGTGTTGGAGGAAGGGTGGAAGACACATTGTGTGTGTGTGTGTGTGTGTGTGTGTGCGTGTGTGTGTGTGTGTGTGTGTGTGTGTGTGTGTGTGTGCGTGTGTGTGTGTGTGTGTGTGTGTGTGTGTGTGTGTGTGTGTGTGTGTGTGTGTGTGTGTGTGTGTGTGTGTGTGTGGTGCGTGCGTGTGTGCACGTGTCTGT